CTGCTAATCGCATCAAACCAGTGCCAAATTCAACAACTGCAACAAGACTCACAAGAAAGCACAGCTTTAAAGTTCTAACGCTATGAACAATCGCGGCAACTTTGTACAAATACGCAGTTATCGCAAGCAGAAGACACAGAAACTGCTACAGCCGCGTTCTCGGGAACAGTGTAATTCCATCGATATCAACAAATCCAGGTACAGTTGAATTCTACTTCCTACCTGAATGGCAAGTTGTTCCTCTGCTAAAGCGTAACGACGTGACAGCGCGTTGTATAGTAACCCCACAGCAAGCGCGAGGGAAATAGCCAGTGAGGAAATAAAAAATAGCAACAGGTTTGTCAAGCACTGTACCAAAGCATTATACAACAACTCGACAACACGGAGAAGACCGCCACAAGCAACAGCGAGTATGATGAAGATACAGCTCCAACAAAACCTCGCCTATATTTTATTCCTAATGTTGTAAAAGTGCCCTCCGTTCTCACAAGAGTCACTACGTAAAGCCATCGGGCAAAATAAGTTTACATATAAAATGGTACAGGACCATGAAGTTAAAAGTCAACCCAGAGACAATAGAAAAGCTACAGGAGGCAGTTCTATCAAATATTCCTAAATGAAACAAAAGCAATGTACCGCCAGCACGTACCAACTAAAAAAAGACAGAGCATTTCGAGTTGTCCTTTAGGCACGTTACACCCCATTCTGTTGAAGCAGAGGAGTATTCAAAGTGGAACTTGAGGAAACTTTGTCACCAAAAAAGTCCAAGAACATTCATAACATTCGCCATGGATTGACAAAAGACCCAACATGCCTTCTTTCTACGTCGACCTAGAACCACGGGGCGGATTAACGGCAGATATCTACCAAATATTTACTACATTAATGCCTATGCCTAAGCTCACAGTTCGAACCGACCCATATAAAAAGAACAAGAAATAGTATGCAATTTGCTATAGGATGCCAACAGTTACAATCAATTAGTCGTCGCCTCTACTGGCAAAAGCGACAGTCCTACGACATGTGTGAAATGTCCGGAGAAGCCACAAGCCTTACCGAAATGTGCTAAAAAAGATAAAACAACAAAACCACATGTGCACTTTGCGTGCAGGACACCCAGCAAGACTTACAAAGGCTGTCAGAAGTTCAATGACAAAGAAGCTTTATCAAAAGAACATACCCAACAAGTGATCCGGGACAAAAAAACTTCGGGGAAAAAAACACTACGCTTAGAAGACATACACCAGCTATGAAGAGTTTCCAGGGCTAAACTCTTACTCCAGAATGCCCGTCGGAATCCCTCTGCATTAGAATACTAAACGCCCAGATAAAAAATTCAACAGTCGATCGTATACCCAACGCTATTAACCAAATAATCAGTAGATATCGGACACCATGTCCATTACATTGATCATTTGTCAAGATTTGAAAAAAATACTTGAAACAGCAAGCATGAACAGATAAGTCAGTGCTAAATCTGCTCAACGATTTCTTATTTAATGCATAATTAACACATTTACTGAATGTTTGTTAAGAAAACAGATTGTAAATAAACAGAAAAATAATAATAAAAAAAAATATTTTCATTTACATAACATATAAAACTCTAAAATTACTGTGTAAAATGGGCCTGAGTTTTGAATTCCACATTCTACGTAATACATATACAATGCTTTAAAGGACATTATTTACTTTACATTTGCCCGGTTTTCGAACCCAGACCTCCCAATTTTAAAACCAGCGCATTACGCACTGAGCTACTTCGCTCGGTATTATTATTATTATTATTATTATTATTATTATTATTATTATTATTATCATCATCATCATCATCAATAAGCACTATATCGGTTTATTAGGAACATGCAATTCATTTCTCATTGTAAATTTTACATAAACCATATAATTAACCCCATATGGTTGTATGTAATAAGTTATCATTTATTGTAAATAGTACTAATGTAACGCAACTATTGTTTTCATTGTGGGGTGAACAACCATTCCTTCGTTGGCGCACTCACTGCGCCACACGATTAATATCAGAAACGAACGCGACTAGGAAAATGTTAAAAATTTACTCTTCGCGTGAGGCATTGCAGAATAGCAACTTTTTTCGTGTACTTGTTATGTAGAGCAAGCATCTACCAGTGTATATAATTTATAGTATGTTATTGCAAGACATGAAGACGTTTTCTTAAAAAGTTTAATTTATTGCAGAGTTACTTGAGATTATTTTATTTGTTCTTGAGCAATGAGCGTTCTTAAAAAACAACATAGAATGTGGGTTGCTTCTGATGTATTTTTTCTGATGCAGACTAGCAGTGTCGAACTATTTGCATTTCTTAAATTTCACCATTGAAATTGTGTATTTTATACCAACAACTAAAGGCGAAAGAAGAAACTAGTTCTCTAACGAATGGTCGTTTTTTTTTAAATGAAATTTTTCCATGAGAAAATACTGCAGAAATTAATACTTGGCAAGCCAGAAGTCGTTAAGTTTTCTCCATTAGATTCATTGTTTATCCGATGTGTGTCTAACTCCTTATTTCCTCCTCTTAAAGTTCCGAGTCGATCTTGGTGGCTGCCCTCGTCGCGCGTTCTCCCTCCAGCCCTCGCTGGGTCAACTTTCAACTAGTTCTGGTTGGATTATTACGTGTGTTTTGCAAAAGTTCAGTAAAGACTGAATGGTTAATGAGAGTATTAGTAATTGTCACTGTAATTTGTAATTCTTGGTGAAATCAATCATTGCGAGGTACAAAGAGAAATTTGTTATTCTCTTCAGCGCCACAATGAATTCACACCCGTTGCCCTCGATTCCGTCGAGTTGGTTTTCTGCGGTGATGGGACCGGCCTTATTTACGACAGTGAACTTACTAATGTGTTATCGACTCCCTCTGTTACTTTGATACTGGATCTAGTGTGTTATCAACTCCCACTGTTACTTTGGCGCCAACCCGTCTCTTCCCCTTTCGCCTTTCGCAGGGCGGCGACGTTCGGCAGCTTCCCGTTTGCCCTCCTCTTTCAAGGCCGTGCTCATTGCAGCTTCTTCGCAGCCTGACACTGAACTCCCTCCTCCTTCTCTCACTTATCATCTGTCATTTCAACAGTTTCTTGGGGGACATTACGAAGTTCAACACCAATTGTCCGATGTTTATAAGTAGCAAGTGCAGTTACAGTAACATTAAGAATTGATAGTTCATTTTTAATGAGGTGGATGAATGATTACTTTCGTCAGATTAAATATTTGATGATTCAGATGCCGGCCGTAACGATGCCGTCTTGGTTAATTCTAGTTTTGCTTCTTTTGATTCAGTGGTTGGTGAATTCATTCTGAAACACATTACTTGTGTAAATGTACAAAGATACCTGTTTCTCGGACATCTCAATTTTTATTTTGGTACAAGTAATGCATTTACAAGTAAGGTATTTCTGCACCAAAGGACCACGGAACCATACAATTCAATTAATAAAAATATCAATGTCATTTAATTTATAATTAATAATTTGTAATTACAGCTCCTAATAGACCCAAAATTCCGATCAGGTAAAAATAAAAAAAAAGATGTAGCGGAAACTGATGATTTAACAGATGCTTTTCTCCTCTTTTTTTCATTCTTGAATGCCAGAATTCTTCATTTGTTTTATGCTGAAATCTATTGTATTTGTTACTTTATTTTATTTGTATAATAACTAATATTTATCATTTTTTGTTTTAAATTTAGACCTAACTTGTACTCGAATATTATTTCTTGTAATATTGATTTCCCGGAGAGGTTTTGCACTTCAATTAGCCAATTACTCTTCTATGACAGGGCAAAAATGAGAAATATTTTGATTCGCCTTCTATTCCGTTCCCAGTACATAAACATAACATTTCAATCTTTTGGTGATACAGGCGCATTTTCCCCCGAAATTAGTTATAGCTCTTTGAATCCCCTTTTCGCCCACATTTAAAGTTTTGATACTGGGGCTTAAATTCTTAAAATTAGTTTTCCTTTCTAACTTTTTTTCATTTTTAATGCATTATCCGCACTACAGTGTTATAGTGTTTTGGTAGAGTTTTCTGAAGTATTGATTTCTTTTATATTGGCATTTTGAATATCATTATCATTATAGGTATGTTAATAATAATAATAATTATTATTATTAAAATAATAGTAATTATTAGCATTGTTATTTTGTTATATTTATGTATCAGAAAAGTTAAGTATTAGTTATTTGTATTAGGTAATGCGTTTGGGGGTTACGAGTGTCCAAGTCACCCTGGCTAAATGTGTCTCAGGTTTTGAGAAGAAATTGCATTTGAGCTTTGGAAAGACACAAGCTGAGCCTTTTCTTCATAGATTTTGAGAACTTGGGACCGTTTTCCCAAATAATATCTTTGGCTTTTCATCCAACTGCGAGTTGGAACAGAGCATTTCATTCTGCTTCGTCTCGTTGGGGTAGAGGAATTCGCCGCCCTTCCGTTTGGGGCACTGCTCCGCTGCGGCTCCTTGCTCCGTGGCTCTGCCGTCCGCGGAGCGCACCCGGAGGTCGCCGAGGGCGGCGGCGGCGGCGGCGGTGCCCGGGGCCGCTATATAGGAAGGCCAAAAGCGGCCGCGCCGTAGTCTGGCGTGCGCCGCCACTTGGACAAGTCGCCTGCTTGTAGCTAGTGGCGAAGCGAGCCATGGCGTTCACCGGAAGGGCGGCGTGGGCCCTGCTCGCCTGCTTGGCCGCCGTTGGCAGCGCTCGAGCGGCTCCGGCCGAAGTGCGTGAGTATCCCTTTTGAATTGTCTCAAGACGGTAACTTGCCCCTCTCTGAACTGATCTTAAGAATCACAGCAGAAAATGCATAAAATTTGTAGTTCTACTGATGATCAAATTTCGGGAAGAGATTTTAAGAAAAGGAATTGTAACATAATACTCCTCTTGTACCAAATATTGCCGCAAATATTATCGTTTATCAGAATGCGTTTCCCACGAACTAGAATATATAATTTCATTAACTGATAGCAATTCGAGTGCAAAAATAGGTCGGTGATAGTCACACGAAATATTCCATAGATATTTTTAATACACCACTTCTTAGTCCCCTTCTCAGGCACCTGCACATTATTCATTAGGTTAAGGTGTAATGGTGTCATGTCGCAAGTCAGCCCCGTTTGCGTAAATGCGAGTTGAGCGGCTTCTAACGAGCACCTCGATTGCAGACGGGTGGCGCTGCCTCTACAAATATTCTCGTAATATTGGAGTGGCCTTCTCGTGTGACGTGACGTGGGTTGGCGGCCGCAGTCGCTCTCGCAGGTGTCGTGAATGAACTGCTTGGGCTGGGTATTTGGTGAGGTTTCAGGTGCTAAGTGAATGTCAGCACTAGCCTCTCGTGTGTGCACATCGGGGGCGGGGGAACCTCCTCACTGCCACTTGGCAAACACCGCACGTGAAATCCAGAAATGGCTTTGATCGAAGGAAAACAATTATGTTCAGCGGAGCTCCCAAGGGTGGGGGACACTCGTGGATCTTTATCCCCCGTAGAAGCAAAAGACACATTCGTAAATAAAGATTTTACTGTTGTTCTGTGGTAATGAGAACAATTCAAAATCTCTATTGATTTTGTTATATGTAATTATAAATCAACAAATAAAAATAAATTTTAAATTCAGCATAAACGAAGATTTTTTTATAAAAAAAACATCGAGTTGGATAAACACTACAATTATAGATACCCCCACAACACACTCGTTACAGTCAAATACTGCTTGCTCTACTGTTTAAATTATACTTTTGAAATCGTGTAATCCTTAAAAGTAAAGATTCTGAAAATTAAAACCTGCCAGCAACGGCAATAATTGCTTTATATTTTTGCCCTAAAGCTTATAACTTTCACATTGCAGTATCTGTGTGCGCAATAAAATATTAATTACAAATGAATGTCCCTAAATGAGGACCTCAATTCATTAATATGAACACAAAGAAACTTCTTTCAACAAAATTCAATACCATTATTTAAATTCTATACCTTCTTTCTTCATTCTTGTGTTTTCCATACATTGAAATTTATAATACATGATATTTACTAAATTAAAAACATGACTACGGATAACGATCACTCAGATATAAGTACAAAAATCTCTAAGACATGTTACACTTGAGACTCACATCATTCTTTCTTCTGACGGACAAAATAGAAGTGCTACAACAGCATATCCCTCGCATTCTTTGTAACTTTTGCAATTTCCGAACATTGAGAGTTCACCAACAATGAGACCTGCACCATTTTTTAAGAGTCCTTTGCTCTCTCTAAGGAAAAAATGTAAAAAAAGAGCCATTTTTGAAAAAGAAATTATAAACGGGATGTTCAAGAAAAAAATATGCAAAAGCGACTCGTATTTTCCAAAAATTGAATATTTCCTTATTTAAAGGTCTAACTTTTTAGATAATTCATTAAGGAAAAATACGTCAATCATCAGTATTGTACAATTGCAATGTTTGTTTTTTTTAATTTTCAAAAATACAGATTGTTCACTGGAAATAGGATCTGCGCCACATTTATAACCGCACTTCGCTCTATTCGATAAATTAATTTCAAGAAAAAAATTGAAATCATTTTCATAAAATCGTTATTTATATTGACTATATTTCACACAAAATTACATGAAAACCATCTCATATTTTTGACAAATTCAACACGATCGTATTTAAAGATCTCTCTTTGAACATATTTTATTAAGGGAAATATTTCTACGTTCAATTCTATAGTTGTAGGAAGGTGTCGAAGCAATTTGAGATATTACAATTTTCATAATTCGAGGAGTTCGTCCCAAATTAGGCATACGCCATTTTTTAACAGTTTAACAGGGAAAAATTAATCCAAAACCTTGGACCAATTTTTGAGAAAACTTTGAGGCTTCAAGTAAAGCACTCCAAATATCAAAATAAATTCGAAAGGTCTGAAGTTTGGCTAGATCATTTGAGGAATATTAGTTATGGAGAAAATCGTATGAACGGTTTAGGCGCTAGCGATGACCACACACCTTCAGGCAGAGGGAAAGACAGACGTTTCGCCGCAAACGCGTTTGGACATCAAGGCCCTTCAAAACGCGAGTTCTCACTGCACAATGTGTTAGAGGAAGCTTTCTACAGACAGAAAGAAGATTTATCCACTATTTCGATTATTCCAAATTACGAGTTTTTCTGACGAAAAATCGTCACTTACCTCTGCAGCACTACAATACTTAATCTTAAGTGGATAAGTATGCAATAGGTGAGAAAGTAAATTCATGAGGAGATCGAAAAGAGATTTTTTATCCCAAAGATAAATGCGAACACAACAGACAAGATCTTTGTAGTATCTGGACGTGCATTTTCACAGCTGCTTCCAGCTCTCTGCCGCTGAGCGAATAAAATCTAATCCGCGTTGAAGGCGTTGAATTTCCGACGGACAAAGCCAGGTTAACGCGATTAACGAATTTCCGACGGCCAAAGCTACGTTTCAAAAAATGATTGTCCAATAAGCATTGAACTGAACATTTTAGAATTGAAAAATTTCCTTTTATCAAACTCATAAGAAAGGAATCTTGCCATCAGAATGCGAATTGCGTCTCCCTGCAGCCCTACCTTAACGACGTCACTCGAGTGGACGGAAAACAATAGCTTTACAGTGTTAACATTCCAGACGCCAGTTACGTTCGTGTCTATGAATTATCTTTAGCAGCAAAGTCGCTATTACCTTTTAGAAGCTTTAGGAGTCTGTTCATAATAACAAATTATTGTAAAAGCAATTTCATAAACCATGATCTCGCCAAAAATAAGACGGAATTGAGAATATTTCTACGAAAAAAAATTGATTTACAAAAACTGAACTTGTTAATTAAGTACAAACATTCTCAAAATCCATTTTAGCATATTGTGTAGTTTCTTGTTAGTATTTCCTTAAAAAAATAAACGGTTATTATTTAAATACGGTCTGTTATTTAAATACGAATTCCACTTTCTTGAAATTCTCTAATTAACTAAGAGTTCACTGTACAAGAAAATGAACACATTCAGATTATGATCATGAAATTCAAAATTTTGTTTTGATATAAAACTATAATTAAAATTTAAGTGACCTGTATTGATTGATTGATTGTTAGTAGTGATCCGGACATATCAACTCCTGTGATAATGAATCCCGCACGAGTGGTGTGCTTTTGCTCAGGGGCGCTCTTTCTCCCGCTGCTAGGTGAGAAGGGCGCCGACCAGCCGGTGGTTAGCGGGGTTTTCCCCAGCAAGGTATCTCTCATTAGGGGGCACCGCCCCATCCGGGGCGTCTACCAACCGGTCTCCCGGTGCGTGTGGTGTGTGTGTGTGTGTGTGCGGTGTGTGGGTGTAAGGGGCGAGGATAGGTCAAGGAAGAGGAAGGAAAGATCGCGCGCGGTCCGTGGCCCGTTTGTTAGGGTACTGCTCCGGCAATCGACTTGAGTTGATTGGAGAAACCACAGAAAGGACCGATAAGAGTAGCCAGCCGCTAGAATTCTTCTCCAGACAGCGAATTCGACCAAGCCGACTAGCTAGTGTCGAAAATCCTGTCACAGTAGGGATTCGAACCTCCGATCTTGCAGCCAGACTGCAGTGATATCAGTTGATAGCCACTGCCGTCTCTCCCGGTTTAAGTGGCGTGGAAAGTATGTGAATTCAAAAATAACTGCCATCGTTTATCGTGTGATAGAGAATCTTCTTGCGCTGCCAGGTCGAAGCCCGGAGCGAATTTCATTTTCTTGACATTCTCTAATTAACTGGAGTTCACTGCATACGAAAATGAACACATTCAGACTATGACCATGAAAGTCAAAATATTGAATTGGCGTAAAACAAATTGCCATTTCAGTGGCCTCGAGTGAGTGACTTGAAGAAATCTGGAATCGAATACTCGTACCGTGAAGGCTTCTGCAAAGAGGGGATGGGAACCGCCTCCGCCGTGGCCGGCGCTGGCCGCTCTCGCAACCTCCGTTGGCGCCTGCGCGGCTGGCGCCGGTTGCTTGCTGCGAGGCTTATTAATGATTCAGAAGACGTTTCGTAGCTCGCTGCAGTTTGGCTTCACGTTATCTGGGTGTTTTATTGGCGGTATTGTTTTTTTCCATCTACATACTTTTGACGAACGCAAAAATGTCACAGATACCATCGCATCTCCTAGTTTTAATGTTTCAAGTTAATGTCGACGTTCTAAATTTTTATTCGAATCTTACATTACAGAATTACATCGCAATAGCTGATCCATCCACTTTGTTTGGTTGTAGCAGAGAATAAATTACTTCGTGAATAACTTTCGTGGAATTATTCTTTTGACGTTGAAGTGGACTTGTTCACGGGCAGTAGAGATATTTCCCGATCTGTCGCATCGACAACGCATAAAAACCTTGCTTCTTCCCACCTACAACCAGTAGCTATTCATCTTTCGCGTCTCGTCGTTTATTCAGCAACTGTCGCGTATGCAGTTGCCGCCTTCGCCAGGTTAGATGCATTAAAGCGACTGAAGAACGGCAGATTGAATTTCGCGGCAGGCGGCGGTTACGTGCACCCATCATCACAGAGCTAACACACATAGCTCTAGGGAAGGGGGCGGATCGAACACGAAAAAAAATTAGCAATTTTCATGTACAAACCCCTTTGACACTTGCAGTGACATCGCGCTACGTCGCATGTCCCTGGCCCTTCGGCGTCGTGCTGCTACAAGCAGAGGAGGCAGGCCCTCGAAGTGCGCTCGGTGTGTGCAGCATGTACCATATGCATTTGGCATCTGGGATGGGGTTAATCCTCTTTGGCCAGCTGAGGTGTTCCAAGGCCTTTTATTGATTATCCTCCCCTGAGTTTACTGATTGATTGTTGGTGATTACGGGCGCGTCAAGGGCTAAAGTCCCGCAAGCGTAGCGCATGTTCTTTCCTCGGGAGGGGGGTGTGGCCTTCCCCTTGTGGATGGCGAGATCCGGCGCCGACCTACCGTTGGCTAACGCGGTTTTCCCCAACCAGGTATCTCTGACCACTGCCCCACCCGAGACAAGCTTTAATCTCTCGACCGGTGCTTCGGCATGTGTGGCACTATAGTGCATGTTAATGTAAGTGTGTTCAAACTAAGGATTGAGGGCAGGACAAGGAAGACGAAGGCATGATTGCGCGCGGTGCGTTTGTTAGGGCACTGCTCCGGCATTCGCCTGATGTTGAAGTAACGACGGAAACTACCAATCAGAGCGAGCGGTCGCTCCAATTCTCCTTGAGACAGCCGCTGATCTCGCCCCAGGGGACGAGCGAACCTCTAACACATCCTGCCACCGTCGGCACTCGAAACTGAAACACTTTGCGTTAGATAGCTTCGGTTTACTCTTTGCCCCAGGCCGGGAGAAGAACCTGGAACCGCCTCACGGAAAGCTATTTCGCGGTCCACGAGCCACCCGGGGGGCTCTATGTGTTTGTTGTGTTAAATATATTTGGAAAAAAGAGACTGGCTGATCAAGTCAACAACGAATTCCAACAAAGCGAACTGGATAAAACATGCTGCACAGGTTGGTAGGATTCATGTTGGTTTTTCAAATTATTTCGTGGTAATGAACAAGTATATGAGTCACATAATACAATTCTCCCTTTTGAGTGCACATGTGATGGCTACTGAGAGTTCAGCTTGTTAATTGAACGCGAACGCGATTCGGGAGGAGCTCTGTTTTGCGGCCGCGTCGGAAAGGGCTTGGAAAGTGGAATCCTGTGAATTGTCTCGGGTTTTGACAAGTTAGCTCCGCTCAGAAACTTTATTTATATATTGAACAATCAACCCTGAATTATAGAGGTGACGGTTCTTTTCAAATATATTGAGACATTTTGAAAAAATTAAAGAAGAAAATGTGATTATAGGTCATTAGGATGAGGTTATGTTTTCCTTAGAATATCATTGTTGGCTTTGCAAAATAATCATTTTTACTTTTGGAGTAGAATGTATACTCAAAGACATATCTTAAATTTAATTTAATAATTATGAGCTAGTACAACATTTGCGTAATTAACCAACGAAAATACGTACATTTAATATTCAGTAAGCTTTTGAAAAAGTAATCTATTGTATCAGACGACACACTCGAGTAGTTTCGTTAAATCAATTCCCTCAAAATTGTCGTAGATCACGATATGACATAATGAGGTTTTCTGCGTTTTCTACAGGAACTCATACGTACAGTATTCGGGTCTCTGCAAGTGCAATAAATGTTTAGTCGAGACTTATGGAATGTGACTTGTTCATTGGTCACTTGAACAGTATCCTCAATTCTCTATCATTAAATGAACCAGTGCTTGAAAGTAAATGCTAGAAACAAGTTTGAAAGGAAACGCGCCAAACTTGTTTTCAGAGAGTACGTGTCAAGTGTGTACGCCAATGCACTTTAATGTTAGTGAAAAACTAGCCAACACACTGGTGGAGGAAGATAACTGGAGAACAAAAAAGATGAAGAAGGTCAAGGTATTTAAAGGAGGTGTTAAACCACATTCGTCGTTTTATATTGTGAGCTTCGATGTATCTAATACTGCTTAATTTCAGTCATTTGACTTAAACCGGTTTTCAAAGCGTCCAGTGGTATGTCTTCAAAAATTAAAAAAAAGTAATAATAGACTCAGATAAACACATATCAAGCTTAAATTAACAATATACAATTAAATATACTTTTAAATTGAGGGGAATTAAGATGTGTAATTTGGGTAGCTAAATTGGAATTACGTGAACAATTGAAAGATTTGTACATATTTAAGATTTTCATTGACGCTCTGCGTTAGTGTATTTTGTCGCTCCAAATTCAACGTGTCCATCCCCCATTCTTAGTGTGTTTTCTCCGTTTATCTGTGACGTCAACTCCCGATTAACAGATCAGTTTTTGATTTGCCACGCATAAACTGGATGTCAAGTGTCTTGTGACCTGGAATGATTGGCAAGTCACTTCTTTAACTCTCCAAGCAAAATAATTGAAACAGCTTTTTAGTGGAGGGTGATTACAAAAGCTTGCATTCGGGTGCATGATGAAATATGGACTGGTTGGTTGGCAAAGAGCGCAGGAGGAAATGTCAACATATAAATGTGTTAGTAGTTCGATCTAAGAGTTGGTCGACCTAAGACTTGCGAAATTCCCCATTATTTTAAAATAGTAGCTTGATATGTCCAATTACGGTTAGTGAAGTGATCTATTGAAATTTGCGAATCTCCTGATAAACCTAGACCGAAATGTGTCTGAAACAAGACTCTCAAATTATATTCCGAGCAGGTACAGTCTTAAGTACATAACCACGATTGCTTCTTTCTCTTAGGCATCTTCTCGGAATCGAGTGTGATATTACTTATATAATCGCTTAATCACCGCTATTGTCAATAACTCGTGCTCAAATTTGTTTCTTGCTACAGATAACGTGGCATCAAAATCTTACAATTACTTCGAAGCTGAGAAGGTATTTCACAAATAAGAAAGCTCTGCTTGTTTTTGTGTGCTTGCAGTGTCCGCATGCAGCATAGATTACTGTTGCGTAAAAAGTATTACACCGATGGTCGCATAGCCCCTCAAAATGACTCGTGCGCGAACAAATGATGAATGCAATAGCAACTCATCGCATCGACCAAATCTCTTCTCATGGAATCGCTTCTCGATGTAAGCCAACAAACAAAGCGACTATGAATACTACATTTAATTATTCTAAGGCGGATCCATGTGGAAAAGTGGCATATTATTAGTGTTTCTCAGCGACGGCTCGCGCTCGCGGTTTGCGGTTCGTTCGGCCCCGCCCCGCCGCGGCGGCTGAGCGCTGCGACTGGCGTTGGTCTCGTCATGTGTCACGCGATGTGGCAATGCCATTCCCCCGTGGGATGGGCATCCGGCGTCCACCTACACGTCAGCCTGAGGGTTTCCCCGACATGAGTGGTTGTGAGTGGAGTGTTTGTGAGTGAGGGGGAGGGAGGTGGGAAGAGGTGGAATCAACCTACCTGGCTCGAGTCCCTACGACGTTCAGGTCAGAGGCACTGCAGTGACATCAGCTGATGCCCTGAGCCACCTCAGCCAGTTTGGACTCGGACGTCAGTGCATTGTTATTAGTCTGCACTTGCTCAACGTTAGCAAAATAACGGAGCTTGCTTGGACAACGATTTGGTTGTGTCCTATCCATTCGACTCCGGACACGTGAGCAATGATATACCGCTCGTAATACTACCATACCAACATATATTTGCCTGTCCATTGTAAATGTTTTTTGATATGCAACTATGTCCATTGTGTAATTATTTATTCCATTTGTGACGAGCATTACAGCTTCAACACAGACTAAATAATCTACGATGAATATATCTGCGAATATTTGTTTCCTTGTGTTTCTAGAATTCAGTAAATTGTCAGTTCGTCTTCTTTCGCAGCTGACGGCCTGAAGCTGTGCCCTCAAGACGACAACCTGGACGCCTGCATTAAAGACGCTGTGAGCGCCGCCTTCCCGGTCGTCGCCGACGGTAAGACTCGGCGGAGCCAAGCAGGCAGCGCGCGCCCATGAACGCAACGCGGCCGCTGGCTGCTCTCCTCCTCTCTATGGCGACAAAGCGAACTCTGCGAGAGCGCAGCCACAACTGCAGGGAAAAGATGTATGTCCCAAAGAACAAACGTGAGAAATTAATAAAAGTAAATATACCTGCAATTCCTGGGGCACGATGTGGAATTAATCCATTTCGACGAGAAATTAACAGATTTCATTTGTGTGTGTAGATCTCAAAATTCGATGCTTCCTAGGAATGTCAATTTTATTATAACTTAAAATATTTTATATTCAATAACTAGCTTTAATGAAATATTAAAATATGTTTTAAATCCTGAAAATATTATTTTAAATATTTCAATAATTTTGTTGTTTTCTTCTTAAAAAATAATTAAAAATAAAAATCAACGAACATGGGGCAATGTTTTGCAATTCCACTTGCGTATCTACATTGGAATTAAGTTCTTTCAAATAATATATAATGAGTAAGATTAACTAACAGAGAGTTTCGAATTCTTCACGCACAGCGACAAAGAAGCAGATTCACACCTCATTCCCCTTCAAGTGGATCCTAGTAAACCATCAGAATCCAAAGCACAATGGCCGTTCTAGCAACGATCAGCTATCGCAGCACGTCCATTGCGAGAACAGGAGCCACTCCACGAGATAACTTGAGCAACGTGGAGTAATGGGCGCGCAAGATGACCAACTTTCCGCCAGGACAGGATGTGGGAAGTTGGACGCTGGGCGTGGGGCGGGAGGCGCCCTGGCCTATGGCGACAGAAGCGTTTGGGAGTCGGGGCGGCGCTCGCCGGGGCAAATAAAGAGCGCTCCACAACCAGGTCAGGCGGCGTTTTTGCTTGCGCCGGCGCCCGGAGCGGCGTGGAAAACGGGGCGCTCTTGCGTAGGGCCACGCAGCCCCCCTCCCCCGCCCGGCCGCCCCAGGGGCTGCCCCAGGGATTGCACCCCTCCCCCCTCCCCCCCACAGAAAAGAGTCCTTCAGATTTACACTAAACAAGACCGTTCATTGTTTCACATAACTCCCAACACTGATAACCAAAAACACATTTTTGGTTTTAGAACAAAATAAAAATAAACCTTGAAATTTACAGAAATGTACATTTATTTACTACTTTAAAGCTACAAGAATTAAACAAATGGATGGCATTTCTAAGAAATTATTGAAAAGTTCTTTGATGTCTTTCAATTTTTTGGTTTTGATTGGCCTTAGATATTTGTATTTTACAGGATATTTAATTTGTGCAAATCAAAAGTGTTTCTCTCTACGTATTTTGCCCTTAATGACATTTACTGAACAGTAACTCTCTTTTTCGTACAGTGAATGTTTAAAGAAGTATTTTCATGGATGATGCGTAGCAAGTTTCAAACATGAAATTTTACTAAAATTCACTGCAACCTTACCTCCAGTGAATAGGTTTTTTGTGCAAATGACTTCATAGGCCAGTTCTAATTGGTCGATTTGGGTTACAAAACTGTTGCACTAGAATTTGTGTACAATTGCTTTGAGAAAAAACTGGCAGTGCTGTAAACACTTATTATATTCAATTTTTATTGGTTCGGCCAGGTAGTCCATGGTTAATGAAAACAGATTGCGCAGTTAACTCAATTTCAACGTCCGAGAGGGGTAGCTCTCGACTGTTGCGCTCGACCTTTCAATTTTTGCTGCACGCGGAGCCGCTGAGCAACTGCCTCATTTTGCCTGAGAGCAAATCCAGCTCTGTCTCTCAACCTCAACCTCGCGCCACGTCGCCACGCCCCTGGCCCACCGGCGCCACACGCACGTCCCGCTCCAAGCAGAGGAGGCAGGCCCTCGAAATGCGCTCTGTACCATATGCTCTGGCATCTGGGATGGGGTGAATCCTATTGTGCCAGCTGAGGTGCTCCAAGGCCGTGCGCCCAGACGTGCGCTGATTGTCTTCTCCCCCAACTCGCAGAATGTTTTCACTGCTTATTTACTAAATAAATTTGAATCTCAAGGCCTGGGCCCTGTTCTTAATTTTCAGCCTCGTCTGGGGATTCAGGGAGCCACGTGGTGGGCATGGCGTATTCTCATCACCGTATCTAGCCTAATTGCCCTGCCGGAGCTTTTTCTTTCGTCACACAGCCACGGAAACCGACATGAGTGTAATAGAAAGCTACAGCTTTTTTGCCGCGACCGGGGATGGATCGTGGAAAGTCAGTTCGCTGTCCGTGAGCCACCCGAGAATAAACAATGCTAATGGTTAAAAATATTTTTGAAGGCTTCGTAAAAGGAAAAATAATTTGGTGTACGTTAAAAATATTAAAATATTTATAACTATCAACGATGACTCTTGCCTTGCCTGTCGCTTCCAACTGTGCACTGTCTCGGCAGAAAATTCCTACTCTCCCCATCACAAAAAACGCCACTCTTCAACTCAGAAATAAAAACGAGACGCTAATAATAAATATAACTTATTTTCCATATTGTGGGTTTTATAAAATGTAAAATGAAGTATTATTAGTTTTTTTCGTCAATAATGTAACAGATGCAAAGTAGCTCGAAACCGACAGCAAAATGTAGCTACAGTAATAGCAAAAAATTGGCATGAGTTTTGAATACATTTGTATTGGGTTAAGTTACTGTTCTTCAAAAACACTTTGACTTTCAATGAGGTATATTACTACCTATGCTAAAGATAACCTTGATCAACCTCTCTTGATTAATGTATGTTTCCTTCTGTGGAATCAAATCTTGTTTTTTCTTGAGTCTCCTGTAGATCCTGTTAGATGCAAGGAATTTTCTGATGTATTCTCCGTGCCACAATGGCGCTCGAAACGATTTAAATCTGGGTTTCTAGCAGGCTATTCCATTGAATTGTGCTGAGTTTTTAGTTGCTGAGTAATATTCCTTTGCTGTTCAGTTGAAAGCTGTTAACAGTAACGGATTACCCCTGGTAATACCAAAGTAGTTGAGTTCTCCGATCCTTTTCATATATTTATATTCGTCATATCGTAAACGGTGTCGTTTAGAACGCCGCCCAGAGATAATTCAGTCGCTCACCCTTATTCCAATCATCTTCACACTTCCGCTCCTTGCAGATGCAGTCTTCTATCGCTTCAACGTCCAATCCATTTTCATTTCCTGCTCTGTAAGGAGCTTTTCTGCGTGGGCGGGCGGGGGAGAGGATGCGGGGCGCGGTTAAAAAGCCTACGAAAGTATAAAAGGAGTCTTTGCCTTACAAAATAAAACATTTTATTTTCCTATATATGCTCAATTCCTGATTTTCTTCCTTTTTTAAATTTGAACATTTGGGAAACACGTAACAGTTGGCTCTCCAAGCTACTCGTATCTGGCAACAGTGTAGAATAACGTAAAATTAGTTGTATTTATTAATTGTGTAATGTTTGTTATAATTTCATTTTTTCTCATGGCCAATTTTACTCATTGATAACTAAAATATTTCGTATATAAATAAAAAGTTCAATGGAATAGGGGACCCAGCAAGTAAGCCGCCCCCCCCTTCACTCTTGCACATGTCTGTGCTCCGGTTTGGACTCTGCGATCACTAGCAGCGCGCCGCCTGCCGTCTGCTCATTCACAAACTCAGCCCCGGTCTGGACTACTGCCTCCGATGCTGTCACTGCTGGCGCCGCGTCCTTGACCGCCGACGCCGCCACTTTCCCTGCCACTGACTCTGCCGCCGCCGTCGCCGCCATAGCGGCTTTTCCCTCGCCGGCGTTACTGCAATCCTCAAGGCCACCGCGCCACTGGGCGGCTGCTGCTGCTGGGTGGCGAGAAACGCGTCTCGGTCTTCAAATGTTGACAACCGATGGCGAAACAAGTGAATCTCCGCAACGACGCACACTCCAACCTGCAGTGCATTATAGTCGGGGAGACAGCGGTAGAAAATTTGAAGTGATCTATAGGCGGCTAATTTATTGCTTTTTAGTTACCGTAGCTTGAAGGCGAATGAGAGCAAAAACGAGAGTCGCCGGCCTTGTCTCCTTATCAAAAGGGGGTGAGCATATGAAAAGAAAAGTTTACCCTACTCATTTACCTACCTAATAAGAAAATTTAAGAATATACTTTTTTGGATGTCTGGGAATATTTAAAAACGGTACGATGAAATCCATTAAAGTAATTTATGCATCAAGATCGATCCAATGATCAAGTGGCGTTAAAAGCCCGAGGGTCTTTGGCCCGAAAGGGAGCGCGGAGTAAGTTCACTTTATAAGATTGAATAATGTTATAATTCGTGAATATCCATTTCCATCACATTCCGGTGAAATATTATTGAACGAAGAGAGATTTTCCCGAAATAGAAAACGCATCACAAAAACCCGTTGTTGCAGGCCTGCCAACACTAAGTATTCCACCCATCGATCCATTGGACATAAAGAATCTTGTCATCGGCCAAGGAAGTGGACCTGTGAAAATTAATCTAGAATTCTACGACTGCCAGCTCCTCGGACTCAAAGATGCTTATATGGAGTCCATACAGTAAGTACCATGTCTATTTATAAGTATTTTCTGTATGTGAGATGCCTCCAAATTAGTAAAATAATTTTGTGTTTCACTAGTTCATTTCTGTATGATTATGTCCTGAATCCGAACGCACAAATTAATTCTCGATAGTTTTGCGGTCCTTTCGTATTCTTTACAACCACACGAAGCCAATAAATAACATCATTTTTATGAATTCTATTTATTAAACTTCATGAATACGAAAGCAGCCGACTTGGATGGTCAGGTGGCTAAGAGCGTGTATCGCGGGTTCGAATCCTGTTTGTCCCTTGTCTCTCGTGTGTGATCGGAGGAGCCCGCGAGTGTGTTGGTGTCTAGTGAGTAGTCAAATATGCGTCCCGTCAAGTCGATAGGGGGTAATCGGCTGTCAGCTGGATAAAGCCCTAGGAGGGAAAAGAAAAAAGAAAAGAAACACTAATAGTAAATAGCAAAGGGCTCAATTAAAACTTTAACTCGACCTTACCTCGAACCTCCTCCACGTAAACCTCTCTAGTCAAAACTAGTTAATCGTGAAATAGTGCGCGACTACTAGTAATTTCGAAGTGTTCTGTAAGCCTGATGCTACATTGGCCTCTTGGACCAGAGGTACTCAGAATTGGAAATCGACCTCGAGGGAAAAAACATCTACTTAATAAATTCTCGGCTATCCGGGAGACGCCGCGTCGTGGGCTGGGAGGCCGACGACACTGCGTCTCCGGATAGCCGAGAATTTATGGATTCGAGCCGCGGAAGCTTACGTGTACACCTATTTAATGCCTTAGGAGCACAAAACCCTTTTAAATCACAATGTTTCAATTTTTTTTAATTATCAAAAGTATTTCAATAATTTGAAATATTATTAATCTCAATTGCCAAATATATTTTAGGGGTAGCTGGCTCGGGGGCAGAAGCGTCTGTGGGAGTGCAGTAGAGAGCTCCTCTGAGGCCTGACAGAAAACACTTCGTTCATCGGAAAGAGGCTCAGATAATTCATTATCGCGCGCGGAATTCTGACGCTTCGTTATGCGTGTCCACGCTGAGGACGGTGGCGCGTTCACATAAATCATTCTTGAAGCTGTCCGACACATAATTACCAAGGCATTTTATGCGAATACTCGTCTTAAAAATCATTTGGTGAGCAGATGGACGTCAATACTAAAGGAACTGCGACACCGCGATCGGAACTTCCGATCGACCAAATAATCATAGAACATTCTTATGTTCATAAAAAAGGGAAATCATGAGTGATTATGAACGCCAAGGAGCGTATTAAAATACGAATGGTGAAATTTATTCTTTTTTGTATGTATTGTTGTTTTGAGGCATTGTATTTCGTGTTTGTGTTTTGTTCTATTGATACGAGCCAGCAGATGGCAAATTATAAATATTTCCAGAAAGAATAAGTATTTATTTTAGCAGAAGCATGATTATTTTCACGATCCTATATTCACGAGAATAAAGAACCGGTTAAAAACGATTTCGACGCAGAGATTTCGTACGAACGGCCGTCGGTCCACAAAAGTTTTTTTTCTACAAACTGAGGGGTAGTATTAAAGGTTGTTGTTGTTGTTATTATTATTATTATTATTATTATTATTATTATTATTATTATTTAAATAAGACATCCCCACTCCGTTTCAGTAGTGAGTGTTTAGGGATTAATTGTCCATCAATTTGTGAATGAGTCAGCTATTTCTTGAGGGTCTTGCAAAGGATTGCTTTTGTAATTATAAGTTTTAAAGTTTGTTTGTTTTTTTCTATAAATTGATGTTGAAATATAAGGGTAAAATCAACTTTTTTTAAGGAAAGGAGTGTTCATTGGAAACAATGCCTTTGTCTGATTAGATTCACTGTGAAATTACTGATCATTAATAAAAAAGTAATTAAAAATATTTGACATGAAAATATTCTTTTCTATTTGGACATTTCTAAAAAAGGAAGTTGCATAGTGCTTTGGAAAATCATTTATGAAATTTCAATTGATAGGGGTATTGCTATTTGAAAAATGTGTGTGACTACGAGAGTTGCCTTTTTATATTTCAGGATTAAAGAACAAACTCAAATATTAATCGTCGAAAATCACTTTATTGTTTTTTTTAAATACTCCCCATTAAGATCTATACACTTTTGCATGCGTTTGAATCAATTGTCGAAGCACTTTTGCCACTCTGATTGAGGTATGTCCAAAACATGCATTCTGAATGCAGCAACCGCTTCTTCAGGTGTCGAAAAACGTTGACCTCTCAGTTTGTTTTTTACGTACGAGAATAAAAAGAAGTCATTCGGTGCCAAGTCAGGACTAGACGGCGGATGACTCATCAAATCGATGTTTTGGGTGCTCCAAAATGCAGTTGTTTGAGTCGTGGTGAAGAGTGGTCCGTCTTCGGCGGTTGGTTTTCCTGATTTCTTGGAAGACAGGTGGCTAACAAATCGTTGTGTACCACTCAGAATTGACTATTATGCGTTCTAGTGGTACGGTTGCGACATATCCAGTTTTTCCGAAAAAAACAGGCGACCATCTGTTTGGAAGTGCTTCGTGCGCGAACAACTTTTGTTGGATTTTGCTCATCTTGAAACACCCATACAGTCGACTGCTATTTACTTTCGGGCTCATACGCGTAAATCCACGATTCATCGCCCGTCACGATGTCACAGACGTGTTTCGGAACACCGCGATCGTATTTTTCGAACAATCGGCACGAGCTTTTTTTTTTTGTAGCGATGGCAAATTGTGTGGGATCCAACGCGAACATGCAATATTGAATGTATGCTGGTCCCACTAATGCCTAAGGTTGTCTCAATCTCACGATAGTTCACATGACGATCTTGCAATATCAGTTCACGCACAGCATCAATGGTTTTCGGAACAACTGATTTTGGACGACCTTCGCGAAATTCGTCTTGGAGTGAACTACGACCTCGATTGAATTCACCATACCATCGATAAAAACTGGTCCTTGGTGGAGCTTCATCGCCAAAAATTGAATTAAGTTCATCCATGCACTGTTGCTGAGTTAATCCACGTCGAAATTTGTAAAAAATAATCGTACGAAAATGTTCACGATTTAATTCCATTTTTGGGCCGAGATGAATCTTTTAAGTTACTGTAAACAACACAAATAGCCAGATGCCAGATTGCAGCACCAGGAAATCCCGAAACATAAATGGCAACCTTCATATTTGGATCTTTACACTTAATGTGACTGGTTAAGGGTTAAAAGTTGTATAAGTTGAAATATTACTTCACACCTCAATCCTAATGTGAATTACAGTCTTGAAAATGAAATATGAATTCTGACTGATATGATGTACTTTACAGTGCAGATCTGGAAAACTTCAAAATAACAGGCAGAGTGAAATTCAATGGTCCTATTAGAATAAGAGGACCCTACAAAATTCAAGGCAGTGTTCTTTTGTTGCCTATTAATGGAGATGGCCAGACTAATATCACACTTAGTAAGTGTTAACCTTTCATATCTATGAATTACTTTTGGTCTAAATTATGAATGACATTTTTTTTTTTTTTTTTGTATTCCCTCCAGATAATTTGATTGCTGACATTGATATCCGAGGTGAAAGAATAACCAAAAATGGCCTAGAATATATTAAAGTTGATACTTTTGGCTTGATGTTAACAGTTTCTCACTTGCAAATGCATTTCACAAACCTCTTCAATGGGGACAAAGCTCTTGGTAGGTATCAGAATACCTGATTCACATTTCTTTTTTATGAGTCTTTTTAATTAGATCTTAGTTTTTATGTTTTAACAATTTTTCAATTCTTTTCCAGGTGATACAATGAATAATTTTCTAAATGAAAATTGGTCAGAGATTTACAGAGAGCTTAACCCTGCATTTGAGCAAACGTTAGGAGCAATCTTTTTACAAATTACAGCTCGATTCTTCCAGAAAGTTCCTTTTGACAAAGTGTTTCTTAAATAATTTATAATTGTGAACCTGATGTAATATCAATACCGGGGTTAAAACATAAAATTACTCGAAAATTTCAAATCAATCCATTATGAGAATATAAATGGGTTGTTTATATTGGTAGAATACAATTTTTAACGAGATGTTTAAACACCAACTAAAATATTAACTGAAACTACATTTCAGTCAACTAGAGAATTGTGTAATAAGCCCTTTTATAAAGTAATGTAAGTTAGTAATATGAGTTATTTAATGTGTTTTGTTAAGTTTTGAACTTAAATCAGTCATTATTGGATGCCTGTACTTTAAGTACTGAGACTGGAGATAAGTGAAACCAAATTGCTGTTGGTTAAAATTCCTAACTAGGAATGTCCAACAAAAAATTGTAACTATGAATAAAACATTTATACACATTTTAATAGTTTTGTATCAATTGTTATCACACATTTCCTTACTATTTTTAAGCATACAAGAAAGAATTGTGAATTTAATCAAATGCATACATACACAGTTAAAACCAAAATTAAATGTCAGACTGTATTTCTTTTAATTTTGAAAATAATGGAAAAAGGAGAAAATGGTTGCTGCACAACTAAATGCAACTTATAGCTAGATGGAATCCTTGAATTCCCAAAATCCTGAAAAAGGTTTTTTGTTCTCTCCTCGTTGTCAGTCTTGTCATTGATGTAAGTTAGAATATTTTCTGACTTGCACCAATAAAAAAAAAAGAGCTTAGATTTGTAAAGATTCTGGCACTCCCTTTAAAAAAATGTGCATCAAATGAAAAACAAAATTAAATAATGTTTTCAATTTCAATTTGAATTGAAAAGAGATTATATTTTAAAGAAGTGTTTCAGTGAAAATACAAACAAATTTCTTTTTGATATGTTGACTTGTGTGATATGTTTTGGGGAGAAGAGTGTTACTGTGTGTGACATGCTTTGGGGAGAGGAGTATTATGTGCACATTTTCTTAATTCTTGGATCCTTACTTTCAGCCAGACACACGTTGAGTTCTGAATACAGAAATGAGTGTTTTGGACAAAAATTAATAAGAAAATATTAATATTATATGTTCATATTAATCTAAAAAATATTCACCCTGATACAATAAAATATATTTTGTAGGACAAATTAGTTTTAGATTTGGGCTCTTATCCCTTATCATGACCTTTGTGAAGGAAAATATTCCTGCTGATAATATGGAGAACGATAATTTGAATATTAAGGTTAAGTTTTAAAATGGTTGTTACAATATAATTATATTTATTAGTTGTTCAGTCCCTTATTTTATATTATGGACAACCACAATGATTAGTGCTAAACATTTTTTCCCATAATAATTTAGTAGTGATACAAGTGAATAAATTATTATGTGAAAAAATGTTTAGCACTAATCATTGTGGTTGTCCATAATTTAAAATAAAGGACTGAACAACAAATAAATAGATAATTTGAATAATTATGTTTCCCACTGAACTCCAAAAGATGTGCATAGAGAGTGAAATTACATTTATGTCCAAAAGCAAAACAAGGGACCATCTCAGTTTTCGTGCAAAGATCATGGAAACTGAATGAAAAACCTGATTGAGATGGGTCACTTATTCCTGCCACTATTTCTGAAATCATTGATATTCAAACATTTTTGTTAATCTATTACTAAAAATAATTAGAAGCAACTGAATTTTAAAAAAAATGCACTTCGGCTGATACTAAGAAGTAATATTTTACAGTCTAGCTTTCAGGCATCTTGACCATCCTGTGCTCAATCTGAGGACTCTTCCAAAGAACATTCACTTTTCATTCTTGATTCGTCAACAACTATAAGAAGTGAAAACTCAAATTGTCAATACAATGGGCATCTTCTTTATTTTTGTCTTCTTTGTCATTTCAGTCCAAACAAATCCATCAACCTCCACCTTTCTCAAGTACTGAGTACACCCTCCCTACTCTTCACTAGCTTCCTGATATTTTAACATTTATTAAATAAATATACATCATGGAGAAATACTTATATTGTACATGAAGAATTCAAATGATTTGGGATTCAAAAACTTTATAGGATTTAGAAAAATAAATGAAGGGTTTGATACACCTCAAAACAATAGGCATTTGAGAAATTAAACTTCAATTTTATTTATAATTATGTTACAGGGGAAAAATATAATATCATTTATTTATACATTAGTGATTAAAAACAATGAAGCACAATTTGGCAATCATTCATTTATCAGATGATCTGAAGTTTATTAGTAAGATTTACTGCACACCAACTGGAAGAGAATAAGCAGACTTACTTGTTAGCAAATACCTTGAAGTGTATTTAAATGCACATATAATTATCGTAAGATAAATTTACCTGACATACATATTCTCAGTGAATCACCCACATCCTCCACCAGAACAAGGGCGTCGCCTCTGTGGACGATATCCTCCAGAACCAGAACCCATTAAAGGATTGTAATCTATTATGGGACACAAATACACACAAGTTAGATAAGAGATTAATATCTTACGTCCAAGTCTTTGGAATTCCTAGCTATGAAAGAAAATTAAATAGCATAAATGAAAGTTTTGTTGAGTACTGTTGGTGAAGACCCCAAATCACGATATTTGCTTTCCCTGGAAACACTGATGCTAAGGGAAGACTTTGTCAGCGACGGAAATGTAATTTAACAATCTTCAAAGCATGCAAAAAGGCATCTAAATAAAGAAAAATTACTTTTAAAAGAAATTATTATAAAAATTTAATAATTAAAATGATTCACATATTTATTCTAATTCTATAATTTACATTAGCAATTACAAGTACAGAAATGTTACTTTGATTGTTATCTAGATTGCATATGACCATTCGGTATGTGACACGAATTTGTTTTACTCGCAACACACCACAAAATGCTATTGTGGGCTGATTTTTGAATTGGCATCAGTTTCAATGAAATTATACTTTTTGTCCTTCCCAATTGTTGTCCTATGTATATAAAAATCCAGTCTTGAACTCAATAATACACTACTGCCACAATACTTATAAACATCCACAAAAAGAGGAAACCTTATAAATGTTTGCTAAAAGCAATTGATGTTTCCAGGAACCTCAACTGCTATGCTATTAATCCCACTAGTTCTAAAGTGAATGTCTTTTATGCCTGGAGGTGGCAGGTGGAGAAATTCCTCCCCCTCCCCCGGTGTCTTCCCCAAGGTACAGCCCTCCAGCCAGGACACGCTCTAAGCTCCCACCTTGTGTAGTAATGTAATGTGTGTAAGTAAGAATCCCCCATCTGTGGGACTCAAAGACTATGATACCCCAGTCAGAGTTGCTACAGAGAAAACGACAAAGCTCACTCTGTGCTTAACTCAGCTGATTTGTTTCATTAAATAATCCTCTCAACAAACATTTACAAATCCCATTAATAACAACCTTTCAACACCTTTTTAATGTACCTGTTCTGTTTGGGCGAGAAGAAGGGCCACTTTGGCTTCTAGGATCAGCTTCATTTAATGTATGTCCAATACTGGAGTATTTTTCTAAGTTTTTAGATAATATTTCTTCTTTCTTCTTTTCTTCTCTCTTAATAATAATAATTCATTTAATTAGTAATTAATGGATTTCAACATACAAAATAATCAAAAATATGCACAATCAAACAAATAACACAGAATGAGAACAACACACACTATGTGAATCATCCAACCTTCAACCAACTAATCATTCAAATACATGCAAAACTTCATCTCAGAAGTAATATTACAACATCAAAATAGTTTACTCTGTCTTTTGTATTTTACTTGAAAACTTACAGCATCATGCCAAGCAAATTTTCAGGATTTAAATATTCAAAAATACAATTTAGGTACATTTGTTTTTTAAAATACATTATTGCAATTTTGTATGTAAAGGTAAAGCTTATACATGAATTGTGGATGAAATTGATCAACTAACCAGTTTTCGTAACTCTGCCATTCTTGCAGCCTCTGCATCATGCTTTTCCTGCATTTTCCTTCGAGCTTCCATCAATGCTTCTTGGCGAGCTCTCACCAGATCAGGATCTGTAGTAATTTACAGTATTAAAAAATTTAAGTGCTGTGAGTTGACATCTTAAATTACACTTTGAAATAGACCTAATTCTTATTCCCATACAAAAAATGTGTTGAAAAATGATGAGATAAACTTGGACAACTTTTTTATTGTCATTAAATTTCAATTAAAATTTTCTATGCATAACCAAAAATGAATTGTTGAGATAATCTTTTGAATATACACAAATTATTTTATTTTATTTTCCTGTTTATGATGCCACTCAATCGTGGCCTCCTTTGCTACTGCCATGACCTCCTTTACTACTTTATCACTTACGACTGAATGTTGTCAGGAAAATGATACATATTATCCTCACTCGTTTTCTTGAGCCCTTCTTCAGCTACATGCAAGAGGAGTGGGGTGGTTGGTTATTTCATCAACAGAACTATTATATCAAATCTGTAGTTCGTTTTACGATGCAAAATAATTTCTATTACACAGGAGCAAATATTTCTGGTTATCAGATTTTGTCAACAATGCTTGTTGCTATCATTTATTCCTAATTCAACTAATATTAGTAAAGGAACAGGTAGGTGTTCTGGTGCTAAAGAAAACTTGCGCGTACAATACAAACGATTCATTTACATGTTACAACAATATCTTTGTATAAAGACAATCAAGAAATCTCAAAGACAATATCATGATAAATGATGAATACACCTGGCCTTTGGACATTTCATGAAAAAAATACAAACATTCACCTAATCATATTAACAAAAACGAAGACAAAAATAATAAAGTACATTAAGATTAATCAATTCAAGATTTTCTTAAAAACCCACTCAAAACTTACTTATCAACTGTGGCATAAAAACATTTTTTTGGTACACTTCTTACAAGAAATATTTCAAAATTTCGAAATCGAAAAATAAATGTTTGTCAATACCCAATTCAAACATCCAAATTATATTAAACTAGCAACATTAATCGACCATATCAAAATCCAAAAATTCTGGGATGGAAAGAATGTATAAAGTATATAAGGAAAGAGAGAATGATGTAATTTAAAAATGAGGGTGTAGTTTAATGATTCCATTTTAACTGACACCAGAAATAAAGTACAGTGTTGAAAAATCAGACAAGCTGATTTAGTAAACTTACTTTTATGCAGTTTTGCCTCCATTTCTCTGTCAGCTAAAGTGTGCATAAATTTTTCAATTGCTGGATAAATGTATCTTTGATATATATACATGGAACACACACCAAATATTAACAATAAAAACCAATTATCAAGAACTGAAAAGAAACAATTATTTTTAAATAGGGGATTAAAAATACATTGAAGTTAATAAAAAAAAATCATCTTTTAATAAGTAACACTCATTGACACCAGCCCAAAAGAGAATTTAGTTGTGGAACTTACTCAAAGATGAGAAAGTTGTCAATAAGTTAGAGTTTACGTCCATTCCTTCAGGTGGTTCCGGAGCTAAAAATGTGTTTTGGGACTCTTCTTCTACATCAACACTCATTTCTTCGATATCGTCGCTAACGTCACCCATATTAAAGTATATTATATTTGTATATTTACACAACAAAATACTAGAGGTGGAACAAATAAATTACGACTTGGATTCGCTGTTTATTAAGGAAATGACAATTTGCTTACAAATGACGTGTGTTGCGATCTTCATTTGTTCAGTTGAATGCAATGGTTGAATGTCAAACGATCTCACGCGTTTCAGAAACAACTGACATGCGCTAGCCGCGTGCAGTGACCTCCACGTTCAGACGTAAACATTCACGGTGTGCCCGCCCAGCAGAATTTTTTAGAGTTGCCCAGTCTTCTTTACGGAGTCTGTAGGGTTGCAGACCATTTCAGACTTCGTTGTGCAATTGCATGAGCCTCTGCTATCAGCCCAGAAACTTTCTGCCAGAGAGTATCATAACTATAAAGCTCGGGTCTTACAATGGTAGCAGTTCCAGCGATATAAATCACAACCGGCGCACAAAGGAAACAATTATTGTACTGAATAATCTGTCACAAATACATTTACTGGATATCACATGAAGCGAAACCTATTCGATCTTAATTTACTTTTGTAAAATAGGATCATAATTTTAATATGCCTGTTTCAGTGTGTACTTTGTTAACACGATGTGCGATTCGCGAACCAACATTTTCACGTGTTTTTAGGCGTATGTTCTATGCATTTTTATATTCTATGTTATTGGATTTTCAAATACATATCGTTACTAAACTTTCTGACATATCGTAATTATTTTCTCTTAAGGATTCTCTCATAAATATAGCAGAAATGAAGATGTTAAATCCAGGAGAAATGAAATGTTTACAGCTGAAAAGAAACGCCAAAGAGAGGCTGTTGGTAGAATTGAAAAAATTGAAGTCAAATATCTTGGAGTCCCTCAGGACACCACATTAGTTATGAATAAGAGTATATCAACACCCTTTAATTGTGCCCAACGTAAGGCCCTGTTACATTACACTGTCAGTATTTTTTCATTGGTGCACAAAAAAAGAACTTTTGAGTAAACTTTTCTTTTATAATCAGACATTTCAGAACTGGTTGTCAAAAGATCAGCTTTAGCTCTTCTTGATGGTGTAACATTGTGGGACATGCATCGTCCTTTGGAAGCAGCTTGTACATTGCAGTTACTACATTTTAAGGACAGTGATCCGTTTCATGTAAATAAAGCTTTCTGGCGTACATGTAGTGTAGTGTTAGGAGCAGTGGTTACAGAAAGTTTTAAAGAAGATATTCCTGTTTTTCTTCACAGTTTCCCTTCCCCCAATGGTTAGCTTTACACTTTGTTTATTTTTATTGTGTTTTATCAAAATTATTAAACATTAATACATTTTTTTTTTTGTTTTCAGTACGTAGTGGAAGTTTTGTGTATGATATTGAGTTAAATGTGGAGAATTGGGTCCCAACGAAGGTAAGAGTGGTTTTATTTTGTGTTAACACACCAAAACATTCCTGGTTTTCTTTTTTCTTTTCTTTCAATTTTGTTGGAAGTAACAAGCTGTTATGATCTTTCTTATGTATTTACCAATATTGTTATCGGTTAAAAATGGAGTTTTAATAGTGTAATGTTTATCTAATTGTCGCCACATAGCATTTTAACTTTTACAAAATTTGAAGTTTGTGAAACAACTCATCTGTAAAATAGGAATATCAATGAAAAGGTTTTTTGTCCTGGAAAATGTTGAAAAAGATAGAGATTTTCTTCGAAGAAAATACTATATATTGAATTGGTAATTGAAGTGCATGGATGAGTGAAGATTAACATTGTATATGAGGGTTGCATATCAACCAATAGATGGGGACAAAATGGAAAGACCTTCATTGGAATTGCTTCAAAAGAGTATCACTGTTTCTTAAATTTTACCCACATGTAGGGTATATTTATACATTTAATTGTAATTAAAATTTTATATACGCTCTAGTGAGACAGTGTTAAATAACTCTAGGGTGTTTTGCATAAACCTGGTTACCCACATAACGCCGTAAATTTAGTTTCTCTGTTATAGTTGTAATTATTGCAATTCTTGCAACTTGTATAGTGTTATAAATATGTATCAGGCCAAAATGATCTCAAAATATATTTTCAATTATGCAAATGCCATATTCATGGAGTAATAATATTTTGTTTGATTTGCTTGTAGGATGAGCTGAGAATATTGACGGGACAAATGGTTCACTTCTGTCAGCAAGGTCATAAAATTGAGAGGCTTGAAGTCAGTGTTGACTTGGCTCTTGATATGTTTGCAGATAATCCTTATAAAAGTCAGCAAATTCCAGACATCGGATCTCATTCATTATCAGGTAGGAAAGTTTCAGGCTCTTCTGAAACTTCATTTGTTGCTTCTAACAGCAATAGGGAGATACCTCACCCCAGGAAACTGCATCACTAGGATGACACAACCATTTTTTTCAATTTATTTTCTGTTTCAAAAGCAAGTAATTTGTATTTTCAAAACCTCTACTTTAATAATTAAATAATTGAATTTTTTTATTTAGTTCCCTAAATAATTACAGAACTAATGGTAAGTTGAAGTATGTGTATTGTAAATATTAAAACTTAAGGTAACAGAAATCCTGTATCAAATGTTAAATGTATTATCATACCACCAAATATAAACAGTTTCTGTTATAGGGGGATGTCACCGAATTCTGTCAAAAATCAATTTTTTGTTTTAATTGTTTTTCTTTAGTATGGTACATTTGTGCAAAATTTGAAGTTGATCTGACGTTGCTAAGTGGTATAAAATATAAAAAGCCTCTCAAGTGATGCAGCCTGGCCATGGGAGGGCCACTCCCACTTCTGCATTGTATTAACTTTCCTCTTTATTTGTAATAAAATATGGCAAATGTTTCTGGTGAATTTCTCATACATAGATTTTGAACTACTATATTCCCATACTCTTAAAACTCTGTAGATAGCAACACCCTCCACACATTTTAAAGAAATGTAAACAAGAAACAGAAGAGCTGCCGTGAAGCTTTTATAGTTTTCAACAAGGTGTGAATTGTGTTACACGAGGATATTTTATTGAAACAGTATACTTTCCTTTAAACCAAAATATGGGTAGAACAAAACCTGAATTCAGAAAATGATTTCTGTGGCAATCAACATGTTTGTCATGAAAGATAAAATGTGATGAAGAGGAAGAATCATGATTTTCCATCTCGTGCATAGTGAAGCTTTGTCTGGAGCATAATGTTCACATGAACTCTCAGAGGAAAATTCATCAGGTTCGCAAATTATCATTTTGGAATTAATTTCCCAAGCTGTGAATATGACATGTTCATGCTCATATTGTGCTAGTAAAAATATATGTGTTGGTGTGACAGTACAAATTAATTAGGAAGTGTGTGGGATAATACATGATTTTCCAACATTAAATAAAAGTGGATATTTTCATGAATCTAATACAAGATTGGTGTGTGGTATGCGGTAATTTGAAAATAGAAGGGAGGGAGCTTTGATTTTAAGTGCTCTGATGAACATGCCAACTCTCCCTTTCAGCTTGTAGATATCTTGGAGTTAGAGAGTGTTCATCCTTCAAAAATGTAATTGACAGTCAACCTTATCGTAGTGAGAAACTAAAATGTGTTTTGCACATTCAGAAGAGAATGAGTGGTTGGTTGCGAAGACTGCTGAAAGAAATGAAAACCAAACATTTGTCAGATGGATAACCACTAGGGGGAAAGGGACTTTAGACAGGAAAAGCTTTTGACTCATTGTACGTGTATTATGGGAAAGCTATTAAAGAAAATTTTGACAGTGTAGAAAAAATGAAAAGTGCAGTGAGGGCATTTTTTTCCATAAAAACTTTACTAAGGCTATCCTATCCCAATTCATTCGTTGTGCCCTGAAGATAATGAATCACAGTGCAGATCTTGAAGACAAGGAGCTGCAGGTGAAAATTACATTCATAAGAATTCCTTACCAGTTCCAGTGATGAATGCCATAAAACCAATATTTAAGTCCCTTTCAGGTCCTGAACTTCTAAAAAAGTGCACTCATGGCATTATCCAAAATTCCAATGAAATTTTTAACAGTTTGGAATGGCATGTTGTGGAACAACTCAATTTGCAGGCTTTACTCTTACTTAAAATTGCCACATATGATGCAGTTTTGTGTTATAATTCAGTGATTTCTACCAGAAATTCTGTAGTAGAGAAAATGAACATTGTGCCAGGGTTTTATATGAAGACCATACTTAATGACATTGACAGAAAAATAATTCAAAAGGCAGAAAACTCCATTATCAAGCTAATCAAAGAATAAAGGAAAAGGTCTTGAACAGAAAATGAAGAATTTTATGAAAGTGGAACACATTACTTTTGTATTTCATGCCAAGAAATTGTAATAAAAATGTTGTTGCCCATTTCCCAAAAACTACATTTTTGTTTATATAGGGACTCTACTAATCCTATTACAACAAAATTTGCCAGGTATCAGGGATTTACAAATAACATGGTTACTGAACCAGATGTTTTTCTCTACCTTTCTTTTTTAGCAAAGAAGGGTGATTTTTGAACCCACACGTTGAATACAAACTTGAACATTAATAAAAACTCAGCAAAGTGCTAATAGTTATTTAAGCATCTGACTACTATACGAGATTGGAAAATTGCCAAACGAGGCTGTTAGACAGAATTTGGTAACCAATTGAGTATTGTAATATGTTAATAAGATGTTATGATAAAAATATATATCATACAACATTTTAACTGCTTTGTAAAAATTTGTTGGATTTAATGCGAAATTTCATCCTACGCCTTCATTTAGTATTCACATTTTTTCTCCTATAAGTGGTGAAACTTCTCAACAAGGAGAACAATTGAAACACACTTGGTTTATACTTTTCGATATGAGTGAGTATAGATCTGATTCAGAAATAAAAATAGCAGCAACTGCTGTTATAGAAACATTGTTAGGCAACAAATCAAGAAAGAAATATGAGTGTGAGTATTTAATTTTTAAAGATTGGTGTGAAAAAAAATTACCATTCTCTATCGGAAAAGGTTTTGGTTGCTTGCTTTTTTCGCAAATCGAAGATGGAGAAACCAAGTAGTCTTTGGACCCACTACTCTATGTTAAAGAGTACAGTACCACTTAATGACTATATTGATGTCGGTTAGTTTACTACCTTAAAAACTTGTAAAATAATTGCACTTTCAACATTTGATAATATTGTTAAATTTTTTATTAATAATTTGCTAAATAATCATGCTTTGAATTTTAAAAAAATGCTTTTATTTATGTAACAACAGTGTTCAAAATGTCAAAATTTTAGTGCAAATAGTTCATAAGAAAGAAATACTTTTAATCAGTAATACAGAATTGTTGACATCCCCATGTTCATTTAACTTAAAGCTGTTCCCATTTCTTTGCCATCTGCTTGTTTTGAAAATAATACTCTTTATGGTGTTTTATGACTTAAAACTTAAGTTATTTATTAATTTTTGAAAAATCCAAGAATGAGTTTGACTTGTACTGTAAGTGTAACTACAGAGAAAGCCTACTTCTACATTCTGTTTTGACTTCAACACAACTACACTTATGCAGACTGAGAGACCATATTTAAAAACATGACTTTTGTTCTTAAGTAACACGTGATCTTATTTACATTTTTTATCTTTTATTATTCAACTGTAGATTTTGAGACAAACTTGTTTTACCCATCTTCAGAATCATATGTTTCACATGTAAGTACACATATAAATGCTGTCTTAAGTATAAGCAGTGTTACATGAATAAACAAATATTTTTCAAACACAAAAATGTATTCCATACATACATGCTTATGTCTTACAAGAACATTTCAAGGATTTTACTAACATAGTGAATGAAAAACCATTTAGTGTGTTATTGTATCTGTAGCATCTCTGGCTCTAGATTATTAGCACAAAGAGATGTTATGATTTACAGTACATTATTTCTTCCAATATTCCATCTTTAAAACCCAAATTTTATGCCTCAAGAATGAAATGATAATGCCATTCAACAATTGAGATAAAATAAATATACTGGTGTTTCATATTAAAAACTCTGTGATGTTATTAAATTATTTCTTAACCCTTTACTATTCAAACATTGAAGGAAGAAATAAATCCTAGAAGTAACCCATTAGTAATTCTTATAAAAGTTAATTTTTTGACAAAAAGATTTTGAGTATGGACTTTCAGCTCATATACAGGAGAGTTAATCAGTTCATTGAAGTAGTTGGTGTAATATATTTTATTCAATTCATAGATTCACCAATGGAAAGAGAAACATAAGTTATGATAAGCATTAATGTTTCATTATTACCTCGTTAACTATATAGCATGTATAAAATATCAACATAAATTAAAGACATTAACCTATTTAAAAAAATTAAATTGAAAATTAGAAATGTATTGCAAATTAAAAGTCTCAGATATTAATACTCTCTTTGCTATTTTATTGGCACTCAGAACAGGAAGTTACGTACTAATGCAATCTTTCAGTTACCTGTAAAAATACATAAATGGGATCTGCGAAACTCCTTTAGATCATTAAATTAAGAGTAGTTATTACATATAACAGGTTTTTCCATTCTTAACTCAAAGTAGAAAAATATGTTGAAGGATAAAATGGACTTTTAAGTTTGTAAGTAAAATTGAAACATTAATCTATCTTTAATTTACTTTCAGGACAAATAAGTCTACAAAACAATATATCTTCTCTATTTTTTTTCATACACTAACAAAACCTTCATAATATAAATTATAATGTAATTTCATTTTTCCTCCAGGTGATAAAGTTATTTTGTATCGTATTGGCCAACATGTAGACATTAGCAAAGGACCGCTAATAGGCAACACTAATCTTCTTGGTCGATGCAGCATTGTTGCAGTAAGTGATAGAAATAATTTCTTTCTGTATTAATCCTACAAATCATTTATATCATTTTTCAACTTCAGTACAGGACATTAATTCCAAAAACATGAATGGCAATTTCTTGAAGGACACAGACTTATGTTACTTATGAAGATATTAGTATTCAAATTGCATTGAGAACCCAAAAATGAATTTTATTTCACATTTCTCTGTTGTCTTTTGTTTCAATTTTTAAAAAATTACAAAATGATAGGATTTTCATATCAATTTCTAATTTTGAGGCAATTTGTGTCTATCATATTTCTAATAAGAAGTAAAGTAATCAATATTATATTTGGTATCTAAAGAAGAATTGAGAAATATTGAAATATAAACAAAACTAGAGTAAAGGATAAAACATTTATGAACTCTGTTATTATTCCTTGGAAGAACAAACTGATAAATAAGAAGAAAAAAAGAAATATGCCATTATCAGATAAAGCACCTTGAAACTTTGAAGAATGCTTGTTCTTGTTTTCCACATATGAACTTGGGATGAAAATGTTGTGTTAACATGGTGAAAGCAAGCTGACAGGTCTGGTTTTCATCATTTGCCTTTTAAAATCCCTCCCATCACAATTGGAGCTTTGAGATGCATTTGGAAAGGGAAAAAAGTAAAAAATGGCCAATATTTTTGGAATTGTTGTCATTGGTACCTTGGCCATGTGTAAGATGTGATTTGCTGCAAATGGTATTATCACTTTATGAGGGTAGGCTTCAAGTGTTTCTGTAAAGTAGGATTGCCAGGTGCCTTTGCTCTTAGAGAACGCACCGAAAATTACTAAAAAGTCTCTGCCCCCCCCCCACTTCAACTTACACTAATTAGAGGTGCTACAACTTGCTCACTTTATTTGGTAACACTGATATATTATAATATTGGAACTTCTATCACACCAATAGTCCAGACATTGTGGTGAACAATTCTCTTTTACTTCATTTTTGTTGTAACTCATAAACAGGTATTGTATCCTTCGGATCTAACCAGTATTTTTCTATTGTTTGTGCGTAATATAAAGGAAAAAGTGTTGTCATATCTATACAAATTTGCTTTTATGGTCAGGGTTCGCAAAGTGAAATTGAAACTGTTCAAACATTTCAAATGTTTTAACTCCATCATTCGCTAGTAATAAATAACTCATGTCAATGGAGTTCATTCTCCCTTCCATTCTACTACTAACCACTCTTTAACTTCTACTCTATTTATGTTAGTAGTTCTGTTATATATATTTATATACTATAAGCAATTGTCAACTTTCATTTTGAATATGATATATTTTTGATACAGTCAAGTAGAAAGACAATTTACTTACTCCCTATACTAGTATACAGTATAGGGGGTAAAGTACTGGAATCACCTTAACAATACTCGAGGGATACTTCACTTGAAAGTCCTAACACATTTTCAAAATTTTATGATAAATGGTTGCACATTTTTTGCTCAAATAAGTATGGAGTTGTTAGATTATCATTAGAACTTCTGACATTTTAAAAATTATGGAAGTTAGCCACTCATTTCTTTCTTAATGCAGTTAACCAACTAGTTCTGTAAATGTCATGTATATAAAAAAATGAGAATGCATTTCATATCATTGGATAAAAGAAGAAATTATTTGGTTTACCACCCAGTCTCATTTATTACTTTAGGGCTATATTAGGACTGGTTAGAATGTAATTATGATTCACATGTCCTTGAACCTTCTAGATGTGTAGGGTGCTTCTCTACAAATCTTACCAATGATAAATTTAAAATATGCTGTGGAAAAACAGTATTTGGTTTGAGAAATAAGTGGCTATCCTATACATGTAGGAATAATATCATTTAGTTAATCACAAAGTGATGACTGTTCAGGCCATTCTTAAAGGCATTCAGTTTTCTTTTGAATTCAGTCAATTGGAAGTTCCACTCCAGGCATTTACAACCCAGTTTATAATAAAGTGAGAACATTGTCATGTTCTTGTTCTTGTATTCATCAAATTCATCATGTATTAACTACGACTAAAGTTCTGCATCTCTTGTAAAATAGTGTTAAAATATCAATTAAAATGTTTGGTTTCCACATTATCGTATGTTTCTTCTCTGTTCTAATGTCAAAAGTGACATTTCTCGATATCTTCCTTCATCATAAAATTGATGTAGTTCCCTAGGGATCTTGGTTATCTGCAATTGCCGGACTGGCAGGTCGCACCATGGAGCGTCAATGATAAAACACATCGTGACACCCAAACATAAAGCAACCGTGAGACATGTCATGTTATGAATCATACATACATGCAGACAGTTTGAAATGGAAGGGTTCTGTTGAAATTCTACTATTAGGTTTATTTATAAACAACTGACACTGCTAGGATCTGATATACTGAGTCAGTTGTATAAAGAAAGGTATCTGAGAAACCAGTGCATTCTGTGATGTTAATGACCAGAGATAGTGTTGCAATAATATCAATACTATTGTTATTTCATTATATTAATTTAAAAACCTGTGGAAGTGCGGAGGGACAGTGAAATTTTTAATTTTATTTTATATAGTAGAATGCACAAGGGTTCACTATTCCCCCACCACAGGGTTCAGTAAACCACAACTGGGGGTACACTGAACCATGTATTTATTAATCAAAATAAATTTCACACTTAAAAAAATGAATGAAAACTTTGCAATTAAATACAAGAACGATACAAACACTTGCAAAGGTGGAACACTTATAAATGGTCTTTAAGAATGTTCAAATTATCAAAACGAAACTATATATTTGTAACTTCATTATAAATCCCGAATTTTCAAAAAAATTCCTCTCAAAGGGGAAATACCATGTTTCCTGAATCTAGCAGTAATTTTAGACGGGGTAAGAGCTTTTTCTTGGGTGAAATTCACATGCTCTGCAACATAGTAAATTGTTGTTATTGGTCTTCTTTGAAGACTTACATGACCCAAGTGCATCATTATTCTCATCATCATAGTCTAAAACTGTGTTTCATACAGCTAAATCATGTCCCAATGATGAGGCGAAATTCACAGAAATAAATAAAACTCACTTCTTATCCTGTTGCCGTTCAACAATGACCTCCAAGGCAGCGAACGATGGTAATATAAAATTAATGTTAAATAATGGTTCGTACAAATTTATGGCACTCTGTTTTTTCAATTTTTCTTTCATGTTACATTTAAGTTTAATTTTTAAAAGAGAAAATCAATTTTAATTAACATTTGCAGATTGTTGACTAAAATTGCATATACAAATACAAATATATTTCTCGCAACATGGACAAAAAATGGATTATCAAATAAGTTTTACATTATTTCTAAAAGGTTAATTTGTAAAGGTATAACAAAAGCTGAATGAAAGAAATATGAAATATATAAATTCTAACTTACGTAGCGTCCAATGCCTCCAAACGCCTCTCAAATTTTGTTCATGAAACACGAGAAATTTGAAGTGGGTTTTTAATTTGGTTGACACCAAATTACACCCAAAAAAAAAAACTTATATTTTTGAACAATTGAGCGTTACCTTATTTGAAGTTTTTAATAAACACGTTTAATGAGGAAAAAGTATCTTCACAATTGTAGTTGTAGAATAAGACCGAAAATTTTTTTTGCAATTTTTGAAATCCGAGGCACTTTAACCAGCATGAAAACTGTACTATTCTCTTCAGCATCTTTCACAGTATCCGAGGTCAAAATTAAATAAAAAAAATTGGTGCCGTTATACGGAAAATGGTTTAAAGAAAAATTGCCTATTTTTTACACAAAACTATGCAAAAAATACTCATAATTTCTAAAAATCAAGCGTTACATTATTTAAAGATTTGTTTTTGATTAACCCACTTCATTATGAAAAACTATCTTCATAATTGTAGTTGTAGGAAGATGCCAAAAATTTTGAAGTTTGGCAATTTTCGAAAAATCAGGGGTTTTAACAATTTTGAGACCTGCACATTTCTATTAAGAACCTATTATGCTATGCGACAACAAAATGTAATCAAAAAATTTCCTAACATTTTTTAACAGTCTTTCAAAAGAATTACCGATTTAATTAACTGATTCACATACTCTTAATCACATGAATATTCCATCCGTTTAATACTACATTGAATCCGTTTGACCCTTACTTCAGGGGCGGATTCTGAGGCAAATTTTTGGCGGAAAAATTAAAAATGTTTTGCTCAAATGTGTCATATTACATATTTTGTAAAATGTCACAGGCTACACTCAGCTCAATCTGTGATACCATTTTATTCATTTTAATGATCTGAAAATATTTCTGCTTAAAAGTTTTGTGACAAGATAAAATTATTAGTTACTGAAGAGTTTTAGGGGGAGAATTATGCTTCATTATCGTCCCCATGAATCCATGCCTGTGTATTTATTGAATTTAATTGGCAATGAAGATCATACGTCTAAATTCGGAACATAATATGTGAAGGGATAATATTTCTCTTTATTGCTCTGTGAAAGTAGAACGATGTTAACCGTCTGCCGCTGATTGGTATAGTTTGGGAGGTGACTCTAGCAGACACTGCAGAACAGCAAGTAGAGCAACACAAAAGATAAAAAATCAAACGCCCGGGTCAAAAAATGCATTTTAAAAAAATTAATGAGTTCACGAAAACAACAAATTTAAGAGTATCTTTGGTTCTTTAGTGTCTAAAAATAAATTTCTTTCACAATTACAACACAAGATTGACTTTGGCGATGCGAGCATTTTTTCGAAAATTTTGAAAATTAATATCTTAAAAAATAATCTTTTAGGGGGAAAATGAAAAATGCGTGTTAAATTTTTTTGCTTCTACTCGTCACAGAAAAAAGTTCAAAAATCTGCGATATTAAGGTAAAATATTCCTCAAATTTGTGCGAATTATCGTGGAAATGTTTTTTAACACATTTTCTCTCTTTCTGTAGGATGTGATTGTGAAGGAATTTAAATGCTGATAGCCCATCAAAACAAATAGCATTCAATCGAAAGAGATTCATATTTGCAGCTATTGCCGCCATTCTCATTCGTGTAAATCGGACGGATCCGGAGACGTATGTAAAATTACAGATTTTGTAAAATGTCGCAGGCTTTGCTCAGCTCATGTTGTGATACGAATTTAATCGTTTTAATGATAATCAGAAACATTTTTCTTGGAAATTTCGTAACAAGTTAAAATTAAGTTACTGAAGAATTTTAGAGGTGAATTTTCCCTCATTTCCGTTCCCCTGGACCCACGCCTCTGTATCTAAGTGAACAGAAAACCCTCGCTCCCGCCATTTGTTCTTGGCATTAATAATTAGTACACGGATTTCGTGAGATGGATACAGCCACAACCCCTTTTGTATGAAGGAATCAACACGTATGAAAAGAATGACATTTTTTTAACTTTTAAATATCCGCGCACGTTTTCTTGAACCCTCTCTTAACATATAATATATATATATATATATATATATATATATATATATATATATATATATATATATATATATATATATTAATGGTATGGTAATATATAATAATTTTATGGGGCTTCAGATTTGTGCTTTGCAGTGCTTCGTACTTTTGAATTGCAATTTACACTGCAATTTATGAAACTACGCCGACTACTTTTTAATGTTTATTAACGTAATTATTTAACACGTATTGTACTCAATTTCGTGCTCTTGCGGCAGGATTTTCTAGTTTTTGCCCATGGTGGAGCAATAGCCTGTAGTGTGCTCAGTTATGAAAGAGGAAAATATTAATATTAACCGGTCGCTTAGGAGTCTTTGGCTAAACTATCTCGAATATTTCCGCTAGGTAGCAGTACTGAACCATACTGATTCATCCTTGATATTATGTATTCTCTCAGACACGGCGTGCACGGCGTAGTGTTTTGCTTACTCTTTAGTATGTTGCTGCCGATCACTGTTTCTTAACCGGAAAGTTTGTGAGGTGTAATTGTTGTTGTGGATCTTTGTATATTATTGGTGGATTGTTATGAGATAAACTTGTACTTATTTGCTGAGAACTGTTTCACTTTCTGGTGCCTATTGAACAGCGTATGATACATTCTGTGAACTAGTGACGAGCTTTCTGCAAAGCTTAGGAGCGTTTTCTACACGTTTCCGCAATGGCGGAGTATTTAGCTTCTATATTTGGAACGGAAAAGGACAAAGTTAATTGTTCCTTCTATTTCAAAATAGGTGCATGCCGGCATGGAGACAGATGTTCACGTATTCATAACAAGCCGACTTTCAGCCAGACCGTGCTTCTTCAAAATTTGTACGTAAATCCACAGAATTCCGCAAAATCGGCTGATGGATCACATTTAATTGCGAATGTATCTGACGAAGAAATGCAGGAGCATTATGACAACTTTTTCGAAGATGTGTTTGTGGAATGTGAAGATAAATACGGGGAGATAGAAGAAATGAATGTATGTGATAATCTTGGCGATCATCTTGTTGGAAACGTGTACATTAAATTTCGCCGCGAAGAAGATGCGGAAAAGGCCGTGTCTGACCTAAACAACAGATGGTTTGGCGGTCGTCCAATTTATGCCGAATTGAGTCCAGTGACAGATTTCCGTGAAGCTTGTTGCAGGCAGTACGAAATGGGAGAATGTACACGTAGTGGCTTCTGCAATTTTATGCACTTGAAGCCTATATCCAGAGAATTACGACGCTATTTGTACAGTCGCCGTCGCAGAAGCCGCAGGTCCCGCTCCAGGAGTAGAAGTCATGAACGTAATCCTGGATATCGTCGATCACGTTCAAGATCTCGTGATCGTCGTGACAGAGACAGGGATAGGAGGAGGAGCAGAGGAAGTGACCGGAGCCGTGATAAAGATAGAGAAGGACGTTCTGGCAGATATTGAATTTGCCTTTCCCAATTAAAAAAATCCAATTTCTGTATTAAAATGTTCATTTCATTGTACTATGTACTCTTTCTTAGGTTTTGTTTTTCATCTTATTTGGGTTCTCTTGATAATTTTGCTAGACACGAATTTGTCCTTCAAATTGGTTGAACATTTTCATTCCAATAATATGTAGGAAATACGAACTACCCATTTTGTAACTTAGATTTAGAGTTTAAAGATTATTTTTCTTCAGGTACATCTGATCAAAGATACCAGTAAACCAATATATAGATTCCAGGGAGTTGCATTACCTCAAGGATTACTGGTTAGTGAATTTCAAATGTTGTACATACCTTGATATAATTTGCTTATTTTATGTTTAAATGTTGAGTATATATTGTGTGTTCCAGCTGAATCATTTTGCATATGGTGTACTGGAAAATCGTGCTAAAATTTTGGTATGTATTTTTAAAGATCGTTCTTTTTATATTAAGATTTATAAACGCGTCTAGAATTTATTACAAAGGAAATTAGGTTCTTTAATATACGGCGATTAAGTAATCTTGTTTATGAAGTTTTATTTCAAAAGATTTCTCTATGAGCATGAAAATCCTTGGATTACGCATACAGTAGAACCCCAGGAGTGTAGTTTTGTTTGGATTCAGATTATCTGTAAAAATGTAGCATACAGGCACAAATATGTCTACTGGATTACCAGACATGTAGAGTGATGTGAGGAAATGGCAACGTAGCATAGCAATCGCATCATTAAGCAGCTTCAGTTTATTTCGGCAGAAGAAGATTACTGAATTACCTGTGTACACCGTAGTTACCAGTACTATAAAAGTTTCTTTTCAAGAACTTGTTTCAATAATTTGTTCAGTTCTGCAGTAATTATAAAAATCTGTACTTTACCTACTGATAAGCATTTACTTTATTTTGTAATCCTCCGTCCCAAATTTTGTTCAGATTATCCGAAATTTCAGATTAGTGAGGTTCTACTGTACTTGTTTGATTAACATTTAAATATCTTTAGTGGAATTAGTCTGCTTGAAAAGAAATTACTTTTCTAAAAATTTCCTTGTACTTTTCTTCAGTTTCGTTTAATAGTGTTCTTACTCATTTTTTTTTTCTTTTTCAGAATCCTGCTCGTTTTATACCAGCATCTGATCTTTGATCCACTGTTAACTCAAAATAGGTCTCTGAAGTATCAAGGATGTACCATTGTTAGTTAATACCTTATGAATATGTAAAACAAGTTCAATCCAATAACTTTTATATAAAATTGCATAAATTGTGTGCTTAGATATTTTTGTTTGTAGTTCTAAATCAATAAAAGGAGGAATATAATTTGGATTTGTTTATTTAACCTGATATACACATTATAATCCTTTCCATGAGGAAATATCATTCAAGTAAGTAATAGTGTATTCTACGGAATTGCTAAATTTTAAGGTACCTTCAGTCTGATTTATTTAATATCGTGCACTTGACTTAAATCAGCTGATGCTGTTTCATCCAATCGGAAGTTTATGTGTCGCTAAAGTGATGTCACTATCAGGACTTTCAAATGTGTGATCCAGAAAACTTAAGCAGTTGTTCTTGAAAATTGAAGTTTTTGTCAAAACCCATCAGTGATTTTTTTGCCACTTTACTACAAATAGCTCTGTGCTAGAGACTAGTTTCACTCGGTTGGTAGAGGGGGACATCCCATTAGGAGAGTCCTGGTTTGGTGCTTATACCGGCCTGATCTTGAAATTATGCCTGTAGTTAATGCATTAAGTTTTGCTCTTCCTCTCGATGAAAGTATAATTTCTCGATTGTTTAGGGATAAAAGTTTTTGCGTAAACAAGAACCTAGGAAAACAAAAAAAAACAAATTTAGAACTTACGAAAACTGCCTTAGGGAAAAATTAAAAAACATAAACATTAGAAATATAGGATTAGGAAAATGGACATAAGGAACAAATTGTTAGGAAAGGTGTATGGGAATGGCAATATTTAGATCTTCAAAATCATTTTAAATACTTAATATATTTTGACTAAATAACTTTAATTCAGAAAGAATTTCAAAAGAAACTAAACCTTAACTCCCAATGAATATATTAAATACTTGCTTTGGTTATTTTCTTTTCTTTGAACGCTGATTGGTGGTGTCGAGCCCTCAACTGTTACTAATGCACGTCTTGATTTGGTATATCTGTTCCAACTGCATATGTAGTAGAATATCCTAAGCCTATCTAATTTTCAAGATGATGGTGTGAAAAAAAAAAGCTAATTTAATATGCAACTTTTCTTGTGATGTATTTTATCAAATAATTTCTCTGGTTATTACAATTATTGCATTGAAGTATATGTGAAACTTGTAAATAACACCTGGTGTTAAAAACAGATTTCCATTCCTTTTTCTTCTAATTTGACCAAATGTTTCCTATTCATCTTACTATTAATAACATTCGCATCCCTCAATGCAGTCAACATGGAGGTCTGGAGTATATCAGAGAAAACAATCTTGGAATGAGATCTGCAGTTCAAATGCCTAGGTACTTTCTGTCCATTTGTCTCACTCATATACTTCGTTATTTTTGTTCCCTTCATCATAATTTGAAAGAATGATAGATATTTAAAAAGAATGAAATTCATCAGTATCTACCAAGAATGAAATTATGGAGCTGAAGTTGAATTTTCTATCCACATTTAATGTTGGAGTTAACAAAGTATTGCATTTTAAATATTTTATCGGAAATTTTGAAAAAATGTACTATTGATTTCATATATTAACGTTAAAAAAGACATTAAAAACTTTATAGTTTTTAGTGTATGTTTGTTTATTATAATGAAAGAATTATATCAGGAAAATGCAAGAAATAAATTGGATGGGATTTTGTGTTTTCAGAATAGAATAGTTCAATCTGTTAGTAAGGCAGGGATTCAGAGCCCTTGTATGCACTGGCTGCATAAAAATAATGATTTGCTTCATTCTTTTCGTTTGATATTTTCTTTAATGCAGCATGTAACATAATCATGTCACAATGTTCATAAATAACTTGAAGGTAATATTGTAGCTAAAGAATATGAACAGGAGTTGTGTGAAATGGTTTATTAGATTACATTTTATTAATTTTTGCGCAATTAGGATTTTTAATTTCATAAATATTTTTCAGAAACAAAATCACAGCTTATAATTGCACAAAAGTTTGATTTTCATTAATGGGAATGATATGAAATTCAAGAAGAGAAGCAAGGGGGTAATCATTAGATATTTTAGTTTTACATAAGAAAACTTGTAAATCAATTTCATTAATGTATTTTTAATAATCATTGGGATCTTGGTCACAATTATACCAATCAGTGTGGTGAAAATTCATCTGTCAACCCCATGATCAATATTTACTGTAAAATTTCATTATTGACCTAATTGAGAACACCTGATGAATGAATCGTATATTGAAACAAGAAAACATTTCAGACGTACCAATTCTCCTGTTGACATAGGCCTACTGAGATTTTTTTGCAATAAATGTTAATGAATTGCAATTCATCTTACAATTGGCATTTGTCTTGCAATTAAACTTGATAAGTTTATGACTAGCTTAATTACCTCAAGGCTGCAACTACTGTCACTGTAGCGACTTCAACCATGAAAATTTTAGGGTTTGAGTCTCAATGTTGGTAGAATTTTTGACTAGCCAGAGATGAGTTCACTCATTGTCTTGAGAATTCTTACAGTCTGCAGCTCTGGACTCTTTCCCAAGGTTTGTTCAATCAAAACTAAGTGAAGGCTGGAACAGAACCCAATGAAAGGGGCTGTGGTCTGTTTGTGATATTTCCTACATCATCATTGTCACCTTTCTCCTTTATCATCACACATTCTTATACTCTCATGCTCTACACTACAACACACGTTGGGAAACTAGTTGGTCCTTGTAGAGTTTGTCTCAGCTGGGATGAGATATCTTTAAAGGGAAATTCCCACAAGCTATTTGTTACACCCTATTAGTAGTAGATAAAAAATATCTACTTACAAACTTTTATTTATTTGATTTCTCTGTAGAAACTTCAAATTAATTCTGTATTTGTTTGAAGAAAAAACTAGATTTTGCTTTTGCCCTTTGTCAATATTTAAAATGCTTCTTTGAAGCATTGATTTTACTTGATTTTGTTAATCTGTTATCAAATAATCATTCTAGTGTGGGTTATAACTTTTCTGGAGCAACATATTAAATTCCGTGGTGGTAGCAGATATCTTGTGGTAATCCATGGTATTGTAAAGGAAATAATCTCCACAAAAGTATATTAATACTTTCCTTATCCTGACTAATCTTGCATATCAACCCCGCAACCATTTTTCAAACTGTTGATTTTGTAACATGTCTCTGATGTATATTTTGTTGTAGCCTTCATTTTGCCGAACAAAATATTTCTTGTACAAAAATATTATAATATAATATTGAATTTTGTTTCTGAGGGCTTAGTGAAAGGTTTTTGAAGGTGTGCCAAAAACTTACACAAGGAGGTCATTTCTGATTTTAAGGTAATTGAAATTACTTGCACTACTAATGTAAAGGAAATATACTGCAGTATAATTTTGCTATATTATAATTTTGTATTAACAAAAGCGAAACCAAAAATGACTGTATACTGAATATTTAAATGTGCATCCTTTTCTCAGATGACCAATTCAAGCTGTTTTGTATGTTACTGATGTAATCGAGGCTTCTTCCTTTTGTTCAAGTGAACTCAGCATGCAAACGTTTGGTGTAAATTGCCCTTTAAAAGAAAATCTCTGCCTTTATTTATTGCAATATCGGACAAACTGCAATGGCACCGATAGGCATCATGGGAACCTTAAATTACATGGTACTCACAATGGCTGATATATGAGCAAAGAAATCTAAGAGGCTGCATAGAAATTCTATGATGAATAATTGTTGCACTTCATGAGTATTGTTTGAAGCAAGTACCATTAAAATTATATTAAAATCGATGAAAACAATGAAAATGCATTAAAAATTTTGTTATAAGGTAAAACATAACTTATTATTCGAAGTCAACGAAAAATGCAAAAAAAAATACAGACAAGAATGGATTGTTTCATTCTGTCATAACATGAAATGAATTTCTTTACTAAACAGCATTGGTCTAAAGTGGGGGAAAAAATAAGACATTTCATTAAAATTCGTCCTTTAGTTATGAGGATATGCAAGAATGTTTTTCTTTAAATATTATTCTTTGTTTTTTTAAGTACAATATAGTAAATAAATAACATAATTTTCTTGGTACAGGTAAACTATAGGGTAAAGGATGGGGGTCAGTTGTGGCCCCTAACAGTCCACGTAAGTAATGGAGAAACAGTTTAAGGGTTAAATTCAGCAAATTGCATACTAAAAGATTCTTTGGATAATGTTGCAGTAGAAAAATAATTATTAAATTGGTTGTCACTTATATTTTCATTTAAATGTTTGTTCAGACGCTTTTTCTTTTTTAAATTTTGGACAACCAAAATAAATATGGTGCTTTCTAAAATTTTCAGTTGTATCTGATGCGGAAGACAAAACATTCTCCAAAATGTCATATGAATGCATAAAGAAATAAAATTATGATGTAAAATTTTTGGAAATACCATTTTTAGTGGTTCCCCAAACTTCAAAATGGGAATGAACCGCATTTATAAAGAAAAAGAATTACTTGACAAATCAAACACAATGTAAATTTTTCGTGTACAGTGACAGTGTGGTTTAGATGTTCCACAAAGGCCAAGTTTAGGTTGCTTTCAATTTACAATAGTTGTTAATCTCGTAAATTTCTTCCTTAAAATTGTACAGAGAGATTAATTTGTCTGGAAGTAATAAAAATCTTTAACTCGCATTGAAACTCCTTAATTTTGTGAGGCACACTCAATTACCTTACTTTTTTTTTTTTAATTTACAAGTTCTTTTGTGTAATGTGTCCGAAGTAATGTTTCATATGAAAATGAAATTTGTTGAACATGTCAATTTCAAATAAATAAATCATTGACATGTATTATGAGAAGAATGACTACAGAATTTACAAATCCTTAGAAAATTAGAAATCATGCTTCACAATTTTTTTATGTTTATGTAAGAAACTAAAACCACCACCACTAAGATTAACGCAGATTGTCGACATACTGCTGCTTTATTGAATACATCTGTAGACAACAAACTGTAACTTGATTTGTCTTCTGTGTCCCTCTCTTAATTTGTAAAAACTTGAGGGAAAAAAATAATCATAGGAGTATTCTTTATAACTACTGTTCTAGGCAGACATCTACATTTACATTTACAGTCATTTACATTTATCCCCTGTCATCCTAAATGTAGTCTTCATGCTTAATCATTGCTATTTTATTATTACTTTCTCACATTCTACTTAATTAATATAAAGGAGGTATTGTAATGCTGTGAATATCAATGAATTTTCAACAGATAACTTGTTTGAAGGGTTCCATGAAACTGAAAAATTGATTTACTCCAAAACATCTGTGCAGCTGTGATCAATGCTATCAGCTAAACTGTAGGTGAGGTTTTTACTAAAGTCGATGCTCCCCAATTGATCTAGCTAGCCACACAAGAACTTGAATTCGAAATGGTTATTTTGATTTCTGGGAGTAGCTTACTCAAGCCTCAAAAACATTTTCTCAAAAATGACTCCAAATGTATTTGAATTTTTTTCTCAATTAAAGAAAAGAATGCTTATAAAAATGGTGGAGGTTCAATTTTCATTGGACTCTAAATTTTTGTAATAACAAAAAATGTAATTTTTTCAGTGTCCTCTTACCTCTACAATTTTGAAGATAATAATTTTTTTCTTCATGAAATCTGTTTTTAAAAATTAAATCTTTAAATGAAGTCAGGCACGACTAGTCAGGGACATTCTTTGTCAAAATGGTCAACAAAATATCAAAGGTTCGGAAATCATGCAAATAATTATATTTTTGGATTCAGCATGATGAAAATAAGAACAAAAATGTTTTGGATTCTTTTGGAACATTTTGTATCTACAATTAATTCAATTTTTTAACAATATTAATGAATTTTCTGGTATTGCTGCAATATATCAAAGATACAACTGTATACATAAAGTTTCATCTGATATTTTTTTAACACACTCTACTGATTTGACGCATAACAAAAAATGCACTGCAAGGTCATATATGTACAAATGGGCAAAAGTCTTTAAAAATTGAGTGTGAAAATACTTCACTTTATTGTATTTTTCAAAACCCAAAATACTTCTCGATACTTGCAACTTTATGCCTACAAAATTTTATCCTTGGTTATTGAAAGAATTCAGAACTATGAGCAATTTTATTAAAAAATTTGTGATGAAAAGTTGTTTTTTATTGAGAAAACTATACATTCATTACAATTTTTTGCTAATTTTTTAACATTCAGCTTCTACCTGAATTTTGCTTGAAGAAAAATCTTTCTTCCATTTTGTAATAGTAGGAATAAGATGGAAAAATTTCAAGTTATGAAATTATTGGAAATTTTCAGCTAACAGTGAAATTTAATGGCAAATACTCCAAAAACAAAATTATACAATTTTAGAAACATTACAATTTTTCTCTATTAAACTTCTTGGTAAGACTGGTTTTAAGAGAAATCCGAATGTTGGAAATTGCAAAGTTCAACAGGTGGAGTTTTGTTGAATTTGAACATTTTTACTGACATAAAAGAATTGGGAGAAAATGCCCATATCTCTAAAACTATGAAAAATAGTCTACTTCTGGAGGCAAAAACTGTTTTTAAAATTCAATATAGTTTCAGGAAATTCCATCATTTGCCACATTCAGACTATAATTGTGTCCTCTAGTGACTTTTTCCAAAACTCAAGTTTGAAAATCATGGTCATCTTTGACTTGCTCTAGCTCGTAAACTATTTGATCTACAATGCTGAGATGTACACTGCTGATTATCAGGAAATCATTGTTTATCTTGTGAACAGAATTTTTTATCCACATGAACTGGTAAAACATGGTGACACCCTAGGATTCTTTTTAAGTGAAAATGGCATTTTTTATGTAAGTTATTCCTGATTTCCTGGCAAATGTAGCATCTAAAGGATATTTGGTTTTTACCAGTGTATTTACCATTAAATTTCACTGTTGGCTGTGAATTTCTAAAAACTTCAAGAGTTGAATTTTTCCTGGCTTACTCCTATCACAAAATTGAAGATTGAAATTTTTCCTTCAAGTACAATACAGGTTGAAGCTGACTGTTAAAAAAAAATAGAAAAAAAATTGTAAGGACACCCTCATTTTCTCAATAAGAAATGATTTTGTCAGAAAAATACTTTTTATAACAAATTTTGCAATAAAATTGCTCGTAGTTCTGAATAAACAGGATGAATTTCTGAAGACATAAAGTGTAAGTATCCAGGGGTTTTGGGGTTTTGAAATTCGAAAAATGAATTATTTTCACAATCTACGTTTAAAGATTTTTGCCCATTTATACCCTGCATGACCTTGCAGTGACATTGAAATTTTTTTGTTGTTCAGTTTTCTGTTACTTGACATCAGTGGATGGAGTTATACAAATGTAGATAAAACGTTATGTACAGCTTGGGGTTTTTTATTACCAACAATACTGAAAAATTGATTATAATCGTTAAAAAATTGAATTAATTTTACATACAAAATAACATTCCAAAAATCCTAAGAAATTTGTTCTTATTTTTATATCATGCTGAATCAGAATATAATTATTTGCATGATTTCCAAACCTTCGTTATTTTGTTTACTATTTTGAAAAAGAATGTTCCTCATCTTTATTGGTAGTAAAAGTGCAGAAATTAATGAATAATTCCAAAAATATATATTATTACTTACATACCATTGAACTTGACTTGAAATGCATAACTTTTGCCTTTCATTAAATTAATATTATGAAAATAATTGAATTTTCAATTTTTAAACCTAGAAGAAGATAATTTTAATAAGTACTGGTATTATTTATCATAATTGACAAATATCAAATTGTGTGATCTTGTTTGTTCAATTAATATCATTTATAGAGATGTGTGTGTATCGTGGTTGTTTCCAAAAGGAATGTTCTCATATGATGTTATGACAAAAGCATCTCTCTACCCAGTTTGGTTGTGATAGATATGTATGGTATATGTATGGTATAATTACTAGTCTAGATATGTACTAGTGCAGTTTTGCAGTAAGTGACATTATGTGATAATTTTTTGACAGGTTACTGTAAACATTATAATTAATGAATTTTAAGATGTTAATCAACTATAACAAATAATTTCACTTCTCTTTTTTCTTTTCACTGTTAAAGCAATCAGTTTCTCTTCGTCTTCATTTTCTCTCAAGTTTATACATCAGTTTATAAAAAGTGATTAAGTTTATACTTCAGAAAAACAATTTTGAAAAGAAAATCATTTATCATTTATATTTTTTATACTACCCTTTAAAAAACAGTTTTAGACTTGTGTGCTTATTTCATACTCATTGTATACTCATATGTATACTTATTTTAGTACTGATTTAAACAAAATTAATTCAAACACTTCAATGCATTTATGAATCTATTAAAACCTGTGTATTTTTTGTTTGTATTAATTAACAAATCATTGAATTGTTAAATATTGAATTTTTAATATTTGAGATTACTTTTGTTTTTGTAGAGCAAAATGTTTTCAGTTTTTATATTTTTCTTCAGAATGTAAATTTTTCTCTTCACAATGTGTGTTTATTTCTAATTGAGATTAAATACTATAAGTTATTTCTGTTGCATACAGATATGAATTCTGGTATGTGTGTGTGTGTGTGTGTGTGTGGGGGGGGAGAAGGATTTTTGTTTGAAAACAGCAGCCCCTGAGGATCTTCTAGCCTCTTGTTCCATCTGAGCACATACTTCATGCATCAATACTTTCATAACACACAATAACTGCATAGGAACCTCCATTATATTCACACTCTTGTTTATTATACAACATATCTACAATAATACTTTGCATAATTCTAACCAGAACATAGTGAAAAACAATTTCTTAAAAAATTCAAATCATGTTAATCGCGTTAAATTAATTTTATCCCACTGTGCATGAAACGTGGTTTCTCATGCTTGTTTTCTGAATGCAAAATTGCTTATTTTTCCATTTGAACTAATCTTGTAAAAAATGTTATGAAGAGTGTGCAAAACATCACAAAGCACATGTAGAAAATCTTTTGCACATGGAGTACTCTCAAACAATGAATGCAGCAAAAGTGACTTGCAAACTTGTTTGTTCTCACTGTGCATAGGTATACTATAAACTCAAGATCTGTTTCAATAACTTGCTTTGTACCTTGTTATATAACTTTTTATTCATTGATTTCTTCTTAATATTTAAAAAGAACAATTTAATGATTTAGAACATAGAAAAGTCATTCACTTCATGTGTCTTCTTTATCAGATGCAAGCCTAATTCTCTCACAATTAATGCTTATAATCTTGTTTAAAATACTGAAATGAGTAAATTGTTTTTATATATAGAATAAATTTCCCCAAAGGTGGTATATGACTGGGTAAGACCATGGCCAAAGACCAACCTCTTTGCAGGCGACTTTCTCTCAGAAACAGATTTTCTCAACCGATGTAGTACTGATTGAACAATGATTAGTGTATGGAGAGGTAGAGCATGGATTGGAAACCTTGCTGCCTTCTTACACTGCCACTTATTTCACCTATTTGATTTTTAACTTTTAAATAAATTTCTCAGAAATTAACATTATATTGCATTTAGAAGTTTTCCTTTAACTTTATTGTAATATAAAATATGTGCTAGTTGAAAAAGAAATTTAATAATTGTACAACTTGAATTGCACACTGCAATAGTGATACAGAAATTGAAGAATTCATTTCTGCTTTGTAGTCAACAGTAGTTGATACATTGTAGCTCCAATATTCATTGTTTCTAGCAAATACCACCAGAAAATTTTGAAAGCTGTTTAATTTATAAATGAATGTTGTGCAAGTAAGTGACTGAAACCATGTAGAATGAGAAGTGAAATTACCACCCCAGTTTCTTATTTGATAGCAATGGACAGTATGTATGCATGAATCTATTTTCATTTAAAATACGTAAATTTCGTAAAATACTAGATTATTCATTCAAACTTTGGTTTGCAATGTCACACACACACATGCACTTTCAATACCTCAATTAGAAATACGCCACCTATGTGTAAGAACAATACAACAATTTCATGCCTCAAAAAACATATTGGAAATTTTTGACTTGTCAATTTTTTAAAATAGAAAACTACAATATAATTAAAAAATAGAGTTGAGGTTAATATTTTCTTCTCCTTTCGTTTTACTGATGTTGATGATAGTATGTCAGAAAGACAATTGTAATATAGTGGTTTTGAAAGACGCGCCTTCATTCAATGAGTACTGGCGGAACATTTCGATCAATTTTTCTCGATTTATCGAATAGTCGATTTGTCTGTTTATCGATTTTCGTTTGTCATCTGTTGAAAGAGCAGCTTTCATTGGGTTATGTCGTTGCAGTCGGGCCAGTGGTTGGGTCCGTAGGAAACTCGAAATTGACAAGTGTTATGGAGGTTTGGGTGAGTGAGGTAGCTCTTACGCGAGATTCAGGAGTTTGGCTGTGACTGGTGGTAGTATTGGAAGTTAGCTGTGTGATCTGTGAGAATGTTAACTGCAAAGTGTGTGTGATAGATTAGTAAATGAATTGTTCGAAGATTTCTAGAGTGAACATTCAATCAAGATGGCAGAATAGTAACATACTTCATTTTACACTTCAACGGTTCATTATTCCAGACACTGTGGGCCTTCACATGTAATTGACTACAGTTCGGATAAAAATAAGTACCATAATGTTGCATTTGATATTGTGATGCTGCGGGGACTAGGTGTGCTTTTGCTTATATTGCAAATTTCGAGGTTAAGATTACGTTCGACAGCGGATAGTTTGTGTTCTTAATAATGTGCAAGATATTTTATTATTATGATGCTGAATAAAAGAACCGCATTTCTATTTTAGCAACGCTCTTCGGACCTTTTATTGAATGCATTTCCATGTCACAATGGGGAAGATAGTGACACATGCACCTGAACTTTTTTTATGACTTCTGCAGTTGTTTAATGTTATTTTATATACGGATATTTTGAGTGAATTAATTTGAAAGAAGTGGTGAATTTAATGTTCGTCTGAAGATGGCGTTCATGATGAAGAAGAAGAAATATAAATTTCAAGTCGAAATTTGTGTAGAAGAGTTGACTGCTGTTCCATTTGTAAATGCTGTACTCTTTGCAAAAGTAAGATTGCTGGATGGAGGGAGTTTTAGCGAGACATCAAGTCGGTAAGTATAATCATAGTTAAACGTATGAATCTAGAAAAATGTTTCCAGGTTCATGTTTTTTACTTTTATCATGTACAGTAACCTGTTGAATGAGACTCATTTTTGTTTTTAAAGAACCATCATTGCTTGTATGAAGTTGAAATAAACTATGATTTTTTGTAGTTTATTAAAATATGTATATAAATCTATTTGTAAACTATTCAGAACGATCAGCTGAGGTCTGAAGTATTTAAATTGCCCTTTGGTTAGGCTTTTCACTTTTTGGGCATAGTGTAAATTGCATCACAAGTTGTCATTGACAGATGTTTGCTTGATGTGATATTTTACGTTTAAGCCTATGTGTCGTGAAATAAAATTTCAAAGATGTTTCTCTCTGTATAATAGTTCTGGGATGTCAATGCTTTTCTAGGTATTAGTTATTCAGAAACGGGAGTGCTTTGAATTAAGAGTCATTTCCAGTTGGGCGGTTTATATACGTGTCTGTTGTGACATATTGACAGTAAAATCCGCAATATTTCCAATTAATCTTCTACTTCAGTATATCAGGCAAATGAGAACGATCACATCGTAGTATTGGTTTCTATCTCGCACGCACATGGCTCACTTGGGTTTTATTTTTTCCACTCTTTATGGTGTGTCGGTTTCTACGATATTTGTTTTATCTTTGCACATCAGCGTTATTAGTTTAAATGTTAAGGGTTCAGTTGTCGGGCTTTCTGATATCAAATGGCCAAAGAATGCGCATCTTGTCGAAATAATCGCGCCTCTAAAATCGGCAAGTCGCGTAGAAAAAAGATAAATAATCGTAGGATTTTTTTTCCTTCGCGGACATTAACTTAAATTTGTAACTTTCAGAATAGTAATTAATGTTGTACCGTTATCATGGAAATTGCCCTAAAACATTTGAAATAATGAAGTATTTGAAATCTCAATACTCAACATTCCTTTTCAAACTTCGAAATAACTTTCATTTCCAACGAATGAAGTGTGTTGTGGGAAGTACAGAATTGTGTAGTACAACGTATGTTGTTGCAAAGCCAAAAATAATATATTTGATACCCATGAGTGTGCATTTTTTCTTCGTTTTGTTAATGTTAAGGTGACCAATCGCACTCCTTTAGGGAGAACAGTCCTTTTGTAGGTGTCCTCCTACCTGTTCTTCTTTTTGATATTATATAACTAATGTGTTAATCAAGTGATAAATCGCAATTGAATGTTGTTTCTTTGGTGCAGAACTCACTGTAAAATCCAATATGATGGATATGTCTTGCTCCGAAATTTCCAACATATTGTTAGAAAATGATATATTGACAAACATATCCATTCAATGGGAAATACTCGTTTAATTAAATAATTAAAAGGGATGTAATCATAATTGGTGTATTTTAGTTTAAATTAATACTTTTTTGTATTTAGGTTGTACATTTTTCTTAATTTTTTTCGTCTCAGTTTTCATTGTAAAAAAAATTAGTCACCTTATTAATCTGTACCTTCCAATCGACATCTGTTAGTTCCATAATCGTAGTGTTAGATGTATTTGCGTTGTATATGTTTTACGTTGCTTATTTCTCAGCCGTTTGATATTTATCATGGCAAATTGCGACCAAATCTCAAAGTTCCTGATTTTTTATTAATTGCACTTCCCGCCTTCTGAATTTTGTAAGAAATGGGTGATCGATGATTCGTGGTTAGGAACGTTGTGAAAATGTTGCCAGTCGGTGCCTTCCGAGCTAGCATTGTGTTATTTTAATTTTTTAGTAAAGTGTGTTTTTGTTGAGTAATTTACTGCTTCCTATATAACAGCGATTCCCAACCGGTAGTAAGCAAACCTTCAGGAATTAATTAGCTTCGTTAAGGGAGTTTGCAAAATTAATATGTGTAGAGGCATAATTTTAAATCTAAAGATAAGAAGGTAACGATATGTAAATTATTAATTTAAAATAAAAAAAAATGACTGAAGTATAGTACACGGATACACAATTTCAGACCGTCATTTAAACCGGTTCTCGCGCCGCTCCGGCGAGGGGTGTTAGGAGGGGAACCTTTCGGTGGGGAGGGGTGGGGAGCGATGTGTGTAACTTAGGACTCATAAAAAGAAAAGCGATTTAAATAAATTGTAAAAATACGCTTCTAAAATAATTTTAATGGTTCGTAATTGGTCACAAACGTGATGCCAAAAGTTAGGGGGGTGCAATTTCACCCTAGTATCTTGTCGAAACTTCATTACGAAATGGTGTGAGGTGGCGAAGTGGTGTAAATCATGTATTTGTCTACGTGATTTTCTGTTTTGGGGTAGCTGTCGAAGTTATTAGCTATCGTACAATTAAGTTTGTTGCGTTCTTCAGATTCTTTGTGATTGGTGTTTTAGAGTGTCCATGCTATGATGGTGAGAATAAATGAGGCATTTTTTGATGCGTTGCGCCGAAGGGGGTGTTTGGCTGTCGTTGAATGGGCGCATAAACGTGGTTTAATTGCTGCAGGATTTAAGTGTGTTGTGTGTTAGTCCTATGAGGTTGGCCAAACGAAAGTTGTGTGATGGTTTCGAGTGGAAGTGTTCAGTGCGGAACGGGTCATGGTTGGCGGGAAGCAAGTTGAGTTTGATTCAAGTATAAGTAATGAATAGTAGCAGGAGTTGTTTTTTATTGCATTCATTTTGTAGATATATCCATCAGTATATTAATGGTTGTCTGTTAATGTTTTACGATTGTGATTTTGTTTTATGAACTGTTATGAAATACGGAAAATAAATTATAATAACATTTTATTGTTTTTTGTTTCTATTGTTAGGGTGTTCGCCATTTTATTTCAGTTTTTAGAAGTTTGCTAGGAGAAAAGTATGGGAACCACTGCTTTGAAAGAGGGAAGCACACATACAAAATTGAAATGATTTTCTTACTGGGGAATACAGGATCGTCGAATTTTCGATTAATGTTATTAGTGAATTACGTTTTGAATACGCGAAGTCGTGTAAGTAGACAGATAATAAAAATGTCAGTACGAAGACCTTACTTTATCTCAAAATGTCAAAGTTCTGTCATGCTGATGAAATTTGACGGGAGAGCACTTCGAACGTTTGGAAGCGTCTAACGCTAAACATTCTGACATTTTGTTCTTAAAAGATCTTTTCAAGTCCGATTTAAAAACTTAAGTATGTGGGAGATGCCACAATAAAGAATTTGAACGCATCAAAACATTTTGGGCTGTATTGTCTTGAAGAGCTTTGATCCGAGGCTGCAATACCTTTGAATGGGGCAAAGACAGAATATACGAAATCCATATAGGGTGTAGGGTGTGTAAAATAGTTGTTAATGTGGTTAGGCTGAAGAACAGGAAGTAGGACTCGTTTGTTATTTGTTATCGGTCGTGTGTCGTTCCACAGTTTTCTTATTACCATCTCAGAAAAAAAAGAAGAAATGATTGATGTATCTTGTTTGTAAGTATCCTAACGCGCCATTGGACGGCGTAAGTTCGTAACAAACGCCGGTCGTTAAGAACGTCTTTTCGTCCCTCTGGTGGCGTTAAGTTGATTTTATAACAGAAGGTTATTAGGGAGAAGTGTTGGCTAGCTGCTGAGCGCGGCGGCCACGTGTCTGGCGCTGTCAAGTCGAGTTCTTGACAAGGACGCGGTGAATCGGGTGCTGCCGCGGCCTTCTGTTTACGCAAGTGCAGGGGGCAGGAGGCTGGATGCGGCTGTAGGTTGCAGCGGCGTTTCTATGGAAACCGCAAATGACGATTCTCAAGTAGCCTTGACTTCTGGCCGCCAGAGGGCTACAATTGGTCTTTTCCTTATTTGCGAGTGTCGTTGGCCCGTTTTTGGTAGTGTCAGTCACGTTCTATACATACTTCTTTTAGTTCACACACTTATAACAAATGTTATAAGAACTTCACGTGCTGAGTATTTTGAGAGTATTCCATCGTGTTCCATTGCACTTGATTTTGTCGCCTGGTTGCCAGACGCTGAAGCTCATGTTTCTGGTTCTCGAAAAGAAAAAAAAGAAAATAAGGTTCAATTCTAATCAGGGACACATTGCATTTTAGGATTCCTTGGTGTTGGGTGGAGGGGTTACATGGAAATCTCAAAGAAGGTAATTAAGACTCAGGCGTTGAAGTTTACGTATTTCGTTCCAGAAAACATATCGTAACTGTTTTTAAGCTTAAAAACATTTCGGTTGAGTCGCGATCATCTGCTTCTCAGTTGCGATTACAATTTTCTTGTATCGATGGAAACATGAATACCACGTCTCTTTATCGAACTATGCATATCAGTTTTACTTCATAAAAATAAGTTTTACTTTAAAAATCAGCATTACATATTACATATTTGAGCGTCACTTTCTCACATGATGGACTTCACAATGTTTAATTTCATATCTGAATATGGTGTATACTAATATACACGTGGAACAGAATTTAACCTTTGATTTTTAAACTACTTGTTTGAAATTATTGTAAGAACTTCAGCTTGTTGAATTTCATACAATAATTTTGGGTGATTATTGAAAAGGGTTGTGAAAAGGTAGAAGTTTCCAAGATCATAAAGTTAACAAAGTGAAGATAATAATGTTGAGGAATGGCGTGAATTTGAGCGTTTTCGGGTCGTGGGGTAAATTTCCGAGTGTGGATGTGGCAGCGGCGGCGCGGAGCGAGCCGCCTCGGCCCAAGAGGCCCGCAAGGCGACGAGCTCAAGGTCGAGAGCGCGTGGCGGCGGCAACCCGCCCGGATGAGCCGGAATAGCGGCGGCCTGTCCGCTCCGCCCCGCCCCGCCCCGCCCCGCCCCGCGCCGGTCGAGTGGCGAGACGCGGTCGAACGGAGGCGCGCCTGGGGACTGGGCGCCCGGCAGCCCACCCAGCGCCACACATCGTTAATTATAAACCACGTATACATTATACAAAATTACATTAATAAAGTCATCCCAAACAATTTTTTTTAGAAAATAATATAATTGTCTTAAAGTCATTTAGAGAGCACGAGTTGATGCACATTTTGCTTCATACGACTTA